CAGACAAAATAAATTCACAAAAAAATTTAAATTGGTCAACTTAAAAAAACACAACACTAAAAAAATAAATAGATATGATAAATGGATAACTTCCCTTACAGCTGCCACCACCATTTCTCTGCAAGCAAAAAGTCAGATATAGAAAGAAAAACTGGTAAGTGGTCAGAATTCAATTTCGTGAGACTGAAACAATATTTCCAAGTTTTGTGATTACAGTACGGTTAAGAGGATACAGATTGTTAAACAGACAATGAAGCAATATGTATGTATTAATGTGATATTAACTTATTTGATCTGAAGGAGTCTTGACTTGCAAAGTATGAGAAATGGAACCCTTTGAAGACATGGTACCTCTTCATCATGCATGAAGACCACCTCTGGTGTCCACAGTACAGATCTTGAAATGCACAATCTATGCATATATAAAATCTACTTCAAGTTAAGCTTGTCTTTTGGTGACTTCGTGGACATATATCCATGCAGGGTTTTCTGACAACAGTACAGGAAGTTGTCTTCCACCAATTTCGTTTTGTTGTTGTCAATCTACACAGGGCGGCCTAGCAGTTAAGATGCTGGGCTTGTCGACCGGAAGGTTGGCAGTTCAAGACCCAAGAACTGCATAATGGGGTGAGCTCCTGTTCTTGCCCCAGTTCCTGCCAACCTAACAGTTTGAAAGCATGCAAATCCAAGTAGATAAATAGGTATCACTTCAATGGGAAGGTAATGGGATTCCATGCACCTTGGCATATAGTCATGCTAGCCACATGACCACGAAGTGTCCTTGGACAACACTGACTTCCTCCGCTAGGAAATGGAGATGAGAACTGCTCCCTACAGTCGAATATGGCTGGACAGAGGGAAATCTTTAAAGGTTTCCCTCTAAACTTTAGCTAAAATTTAGCTAAACTTTCCCTCTAAAGTTTAGCTAAACTTTGGACTAGCTCCCAGTCCAGGTATTCTATCCAAGTACTCAGCAGGCACAATTGTCTTTGGTTTGAGGGTTACATGTATAGTTTCATGTTAACTCAATATAAAATCATGATCCTACTGGTTTCCAGGAGTTGAGGTGATTTTGAATTTTCTAGCTGATACAAGAAGGTGATTTTGAATTTCTAGCTGACACGAGAAACCAAATTTGCTTGACCCACGTGATAAAGGGGGCACGATTACTTGGTGGTGCAGGCTAACTGCTGCTCACAGTTGGGGTAAGATGCACAAAGCATACCTGTATGGGACCCCAGTATCACTAACAGATTCATTAGCTACAGTCTTTGGAAACAGCACAAGTAAGAGGATTTTATGTTATTAATGCTGAGAGGTAACAAAGCGTCACTGATGCCATCTGCTTAATGCCTCACAGCATTATCATCTTGGCAATATGTAATTGACAACAGAGAAATTAAAACAAATGGTCTCTGTTCCCTCATCTGATTCCGCTGACTCTTACTTCACCTTTTCTTTTTGCAATTCTTATTCGTTTTACCCTTTGCCACAGAGTTCATATTTGTACACAATGCACATTTGGATGCATGACAGGAAGCTAGAAAAATGACTGGCAAAGAATGCCAAAATGAATTCTTGTTCTGTTTTCAACAGGGTGACAAATTCTACTGCTGCAGTAAAAATTCCTTATGATGAACTCTTCTGACTCTCTACTATAGGACTACAAATATAACTACTGTTGTATTGTCCTTGAATAAAACTTGGACGTTGATGGAGAAATAGTAGTCACTTTATATTAGCTGAATCGGTATAATATAAAGAGCCTATTATTTTTCTACTGCTGTTCAAGTACCATTCTTAAGCAATTGTTAAGAAAGTGTATGTGTACAGTATATGGTAAATACTTCAGCAGAAATACTACCAGTTGTAGTATACTAAAATGATCATTTAAATTTAATTTCCTATGGATCAGTTATAACTAAAATACCATTGAAGACATGGATTTGTACCTTTTATTCACTTCTATGATTGTTGATCATGCACCTTAACCTGATTTTTAGTAGAAACCAGAAAAGCTAATTTATCTTCCCTCCCTTCACTCTCTGAAAAAGCAAGGCAATTACATCTACCTTTTGTTGTTGTTGTTGTTTATGCTGTTCTTTCTACCAAATTCAGCCATACTGCGTCACCTTCACATTTTCTGTTCCTGGAAAGTTCTTAGGATGAAGAACTCTGAAACACTTAATACAGAACCTACTGCCTTTTTAGTCCATGTATCTAGAATCACCCACCTGAACTCTTTACATCTCAAATATTTTTCCGGCTGTTTATAACAACTTGCCTCAAAGTTAAATCATCCTAACTTGTATTTCAAGCTTTACCATTTAAACTTACATTTATTTTAAAAGTAAATATTATAAAATTGAACGTCTAAATCATATTTAAGTTGCAACCTGTTTAACATTATAATGGTCATGAGAAGACATATGGTTATTTATGAAATAAATCTAGTCAAAATTACAATTTTGAATCTCTATGTTTTATGAGAGCGCTTAGTAACAGTTTAATATTACCATGCTGATTCATTAAAAGCTCTTGTTTATTAATCTACTGTTCATCAATACTGGAATGATAATGAGCTATTTTTATAAGGTAGCCTTAATGTTACTAAGATAATATTTGGGATATATTTTAAATACCAGAAAACTCTATAGATATGTTAAGGATAACTTGGGGAATTATCCTATGAGAATTCCAGTAAATGCTGGCATGATTTCTGTCTCTTAAATTACTATGTGGACTAGAAGACAGTTACAGTATTCTTTAGATTTCACATTTTTCACATTTGGAAGAGTTCTTAAATCAACGCATGAATGAAATCTTTCTATCAGGTCCCTAAAGAGGGTTGAAATCTATGTTGTGCTTTTTTATGAATTCTCTTTAATTTTTCGTTCTCAGCCGTTCTAAAATTTCTATTGCTTCCCACCTGAAGTTTTGTTTTAGTTTCTCTCCGAAAAGGGAAATTGTGTCCTATGATTACTAGCTGGTGCTTGAGGTTATATTTTGTTAGGCTTCCAAATGTGTGCCCTGTGTAGTGGTGTTCACTAACTTTGCATTTTATTTTGTACAGGTCGTCCTTGACTTATGACCATTGATTCGATGTCTGTTCAAAATGATGCCCACGCTAATTGAAAGGACTTATTTATTTTTATTAAATTTAGAAAATTTATATTGCAGCCTACTCACACAGGGCGACTTAGGACTGGACAGCAAATTTACAGCCATTGCAACACCCCCGTGTTCATATGATTGTGATCTGAGTACTTGGTAACCCATTCACACTTAATGACTGGTTGCCAAGTGCCCCACAATATGATCAGATTTGCCATTATTGTTGAGGTAATTCCCCGTTAGGAGAATGAGCGCATACAGGGAGACGTATTTGAGAGAAGTGTTTGAATAATACACACACAGTACACAGATACACTGTACAGTAAATGTAGGTTTTTACTTCCAGAAAGGTTTAAGCAAAGTCCAAAATAAGCAATCCAAAAGTCATTCACAGGTAAAATCAGTCAGTTTTCATCCAGGGATAATCCAAATATCAAATTCCAGTGTCAAAAACAGTTCAGTATCAGACTTACATTAACTCCAGTAATATCAGTCAATTAGAAGAAATGGAGCAACGGCAATACTTTCCAACAGAAGAAAACAGAGACGGAGACACACTCTCTTCTGAGATTAAGACTAAACAAACCAGGTTTCTGGCTCCATCTTATGGCCATTTGAAAAACAACACCTAATTACAGTTTTGCATTTTCTTAAAGATACAGTTTTAAAATGTTTATCTTGGTTTATATATTTCTAACCCAAATAGCTGTTAGGTGACTTATATTCCTAACATTTATCCCTGCCAACTTCCCCAGAAAGTCAATAGGGAAGCCCGCAGAGAACTTCAGAAACCACTGCTATCTGCTGAGAGGATTCCCTCTTATCTCTGGGGGATGGCTAAAATGATCTTCAACCTCAGGGGATTTTCTGCCCCAGAGTAATGAGTCCTTCAGAAGTCTCTCGACTCTGGAGCTGAACATTTCAGGGCTCTTGCACACTCGCCTCAAACCCTCCCAACCCTCCCCCATCCTCTGTTTCCTCCCATACCCAGCAGAATCTGGGGCTTGCATCTTCCTACAATTTTCCCACTGACTTTATTTATTTATTTATTTATTTATTTGATTTGATTTGATTTGTCAATTGCTTACAAGATAATAGGTATAAGTATATACATAGTTATGAATACATGAATTGGGTACATATAAGAAAAATAAAAGAAACAATAGGACAGGGACGGTAGGCACGTTGGTGCGCTTATGCACGCCCCCTACAGACCTCTTAGGAAAGGAGCGGGGTCAATAGTAGACAGTTTGGGGGGGTTGGGGAAGAAGCCACAGAGTCAGGTAGAGTATTCTTGACTTGATTGTGGGAAGCTGGCAAGATATTGTTTCACTTAAGGACCAGGGCATTCACTTAACAATGGGAACAGAGACTGTTTGGACTGCAGTTGTTAAACAAAATGGTTACATTTTATGACCCCCATTGCTTAAAAAATGGTAATCCCAGCCCCAACTGCCATTGTAGGATGAAGATTATCAGCAGTATAGGACTGCGAATCTGTCTTCCTTTTGGTACTGTGTCCCTACATTGCACACAATATTTTCATAGCTTCCTTGCTGTACATGTTACATTTATTCAGAGTAGCCTGCTGGTGGACCATGAAACCCCTTTAGTTATACTTGGTGTGTGTGTGTGTGTGTGTGTGTGTGTGTGTGAGAGAGAGAGAGAGATATTCCTGCTATATTCAATTGGGTGGATCTGCACTTTTTGATGAAGGCAGGTGGTTGTCTGTTGTGGTGAAGCATGACTTGTAAGTACTTAATTTCTGCTTCTACAGTTCTGGCTAATGAATGGCAAAAGGCAAACTCAACTGGAAGCACTATACCAGCCACACTGAGCTCCTGAATAAAAGCTGGAGTATAAATTTAATAAATAAATAAACTCACCGATCCACAGCTTCTACGTCAAAGCAGAATCTCTTCTCTATGGAATCAGTCTTCCGCCGAGTGCAAGATTTGAGAATAATAGCTTCATCTTCTCCCTGGCGGGATATGAAAATCACATATAAGGCCAATTCTTTTTTTTAATCCAATCTGAAAGCAAGCTTGTTTTCAATGCCAGAGGCATTCACTTTGGAACCAGTATTTCACCCCCATGTTGATTATCAATTAAAACTAGGTAATAAAGAAAAGGATTTGTATATCCTGTAAGATACTCTTTGCAAAATGAGAAAGAGAAGCTTTCTTTAAACCCAAATTAAATCTATCAATCTTAGAAGAGATAAGAACATAAGTCAGCCCTGACAGATCAAAGCTTTATCTAATCTTGCCTCAAAAGTGTTTACCTGTTCAGCCAAGCCAAAGCAAAACTCTCTTGTATGCTCCTAGCACTGGCCACAATGGAATATTATCTCCAGCTCTGAACCTTCCATTAATTTTTATCCTCCCTTTGTTAAAAAACCAGGTAAGGTAATATCCAACATTATAATATCATAAATCAGATCAGCAGAACAACATGCTTTAGTGTACTATGAGCCGTGGTGGTGCAGTGGTTAGAGTGCAGTATTGCAGGCTATTTCTACTGCCTGCCGGATGCCTGCAATTTGGCAGTTTGAATCTCACCATGCTCAGGATGGACTCAGCCTTCCATCCTTCTGAGGTCAGTAAAATGAGGACCCAGATTGTTGGGGGAAAATATGCTGACTCTGTAAAACCGCTTAGAAAGGGCTGTAAAATACTGTAAAGCAGTATATAAGTCTAAGTGCTATTGCTATCAACATGCACTTTAAATGCACCTATCAACCACAACCATGTCAATATTCTATAAATCACTTTGCTTGTTCTTTTTTTATCTTTTGCCCCATTAGGATTCTTCTAAAACCTGAAGGGTCTTCCCTTCTCAGTAATTACAATCATCCCACAGAAAGATTCATCTGAGATGAACATAATACAGGTAATCCTTGACTTACGACCACAGCTGAGCCCAAAATTTCTGTTGCTAAGAGAGGCAGTTGTTAAGCAAATTTTGGGTCATTTTACCATCTTTCTTGCCACAGTTGTTAAATGAATGACTGTAGCTGTTAAGTTAGTAACATGGTTGTTAGGTGAATCTGGCTTCCCAAACTGACTTTGCTTGTCAGACGGTCATAAAAGGGGATCCATGTCTCCAGGGCTGTGCAACCATCATAAATATGAGTCAGTTGCCAAACATCCGCATTTTCATCATGTGATCATGGAGATGCTGCATCAGTTAGTGTGAAAAACAGTCATAACGTAAGTCACTTTTTCCAGTATTGTTAACTTTGAACGGTCATTAAATGAACTGTTGTAAATCAAAGACTACCTGTATTTCTAATGGTCTGTATACTTTTACCCCTAATTTCAGGGGTGGGATTCAACTGGTGTTACTACCAGTTCAGTGACTATGTTTTGCGCTGTGCATACATGTAAAAAACCTTAAGCTGTGCCGCCCAGACAGCTGAAAAGCACTGCACATGGGTGCACAGCATTTGAAAAGCCACTTTTTTCCTGCTTTTTCAACTTCAGCTGTTCCATGCAAAGCAGCTAAGGATGAAAAAGCAGAAAATAAAGGACAGGTAAGAGCCCGGGTCGGCAGGTGGGCCAAACAGCAGCAAACACAGAACTGGTTTGGTGTCTGCTGCTCTTCAGAGCTACCAGTTTTATAGAGCCGGGCAGAACCAGTAGCATCCCACCCCTGCCTAATTGTACAAATCACAATGTTGTTTTTCAATTGCTGGAAAAAACAATTTCCAATCTAGTCCTGATGGTAGCCCAACCCCCAGAATGGAAACTGAATCTGCTCAATCGCTAATCAGGCAATGTTCCACTTCTGTTGTTGGCTTTAGTCCAATTCACAGATTCTTGGAAAGACCTGGCAGATGAGAAGCTCCAAATGGCCTCTAAAAGATACACTGATAGGGAAGTGCCACAAATGAAATAAACATTCCCAGACCACGAATCACGACCCAATGCCCTTAGAGGAATAACCTGTGTATCCCCTTACTAAAGGCATACTTGTGAAAAGCTATTCATTTGGATGTGTCAAGTAATGACTTTGTTTCAGGAAATGAGTTGACTAAATAAGAATAACGGGAACATTATTTCAAACATAGTACCAGCAAATCTTTATAGCTTTAAAAGTGTTGCCAATACAAATGCAGACAAGTAAAAGGCTGCAGGGCAAAACAAAGTGACTATAATAATTCATCTCATCCCTTTAAGGAATGAAATCCATGTAAGCAGCAAGTGTCTTGAGACATCTTCCTGATATTACATTAATTGCAACAAACCTGTTTAGGAAACAAATTACTATGTTGGAATTTTTGTATTAAATATTTAAGAGTTTTTTATGCAGAGCTTTCTTTCTTTTTTTCAAGTAAGAGTCTGTTAACTTTTTTAAAAAATTCTTTTCTAGGATCATGCCCAAATGAAGAATTTGTGGAAGTTAAGCTGAGAGTTTGATTCTATTTTTTCAACATGGTGTATGTGCACAGGTACATGACTTTATATGCACATACATTTACACAGATAGTCATTATATATGTACCTACATGCACACCACATATAAATATTTAGATATATTTGCAGATCATAATGGTAAGAGAAATGGTGCAAAGAACATTTTGGTAAACAAGGAAGCCTTGTTAACTAGAAAGTATCATTGTTTCTGATATGCACAATTATGTACTCTTTTTTAAAAAATTGTGAATTGTGTCCTAACATTTAGATCAGTAGATTTCAGCACACTCTCATTCTCCTATCATTATAAAGATGCCAATACAATTAATTCATCTGTGGTGAAAATTGAAATAATTTATTGTTTATGCCTTGAAATATATTCCTTCATATCAAAAAATAATAATATTAATTCTATTTAAATGAAAACACTAATTATAAAGGGAAAGTGTGAACATGTGATCTAGATGCATCATACCATCTGATCAATAAGTTGAGAAGGAACTGAAGGGACCCTTAAATACAATTATAGTACTTCATGCAATTAGTAACTTTGTTCAACTCCATTTTAGTTTAAATGTTTAATTTAGTTTAAATAATCACAACTATCTCCATAACAAATCACCTGCATTTTTACTCACCCCCTTTCCACCAGACTTCTGGTCAAATGGCACCATCGTTATTCGTTTGGATTCACTCTGATATGTGCAGTAATGCTTCACCCAGGATGTCCCAAAGTGACCTAGTCAGAATTGAAATGAGCTGTATATTTCAGGTATGAAACCAATGCAAGCTAATTTTAATGGAACGGAAATCCTAACATATAGAAGGATGGAACCAAACTTGCTGCACAGGCTACAATTCATGATATGATTGAAACCTTTAAATATAGTAAGGGTGTGAGTAAGGTTCTAGAAGACAGGATGTTCAATATTAAGCAACCAAGAATACAGAGGCATAATCTCAAACTGACAGGAGGGAAGTTCGAAAGTAATATTAGAAAGTATTACTTCACAGAAAGAGTAGTGGAAGCTTGGAACCAATTTCCAGAGGAGATAGTGGGTCAATCATCAGTAACTGAGTTTAGACATGCTTGGAATAAATGCATGTCCATCCTCTGACAAAAATTAGAAATAAAAAATAAAATAAAAATTAATAAAATATGAAAAATGATAAATTTAATAACAAATAAATAGCAAATAAAACAAAAACTCGAAGGGCAGACTCATTGGACCACTAGGTCTTTTCCTGCCATCAATTTTATATGCTTCTATATCCAAAATATTGAAAGTCACAAAAAAGTCACTAATCTTCATTTGAATTACTCTGTTAATTTTAGTCCTTGAAAACAAATGGAAGTAATTCCTATCATCTTTTTCTAGTAAATCTAAAAAAGAATCTCCAAAGAGAAAAAATACTCTGGAAGAAAAGTATAGGAAATGCAAAATGGAAACTCTGTGCAGATTAAAAATGCAATTTTAAATCAAGAAAAATACTAGTTTTCCTTGAAGATAGTGCACAGTCTATTAATAGCAGTCCTCAACCTGATATTAGATCGAATGAAAAGAGCAGAGATTCTTCCTTTAATACTCAGTGCAGCTTTTCACTTCACAACAACCCTAGATACAGGTTTTGATATTATTTCAAATATATAATTAGACTATCTACTTTGAACTTCTATTACATTCTGCAGACCTCTCCTAAAATGTAGGTTTCATAAGGATCTTATTTTATTCTTGCTAATTAGAGTAAGGACAGAAATAGCAAGAAACTGTAAGCTGGTTGCAGTCAATGTGGTTGAAAGCTCAAGGGCATAGCAATTCTTCTGTAAGTGCAAACGTATTGCAGCAGACTAATTAGAAGGGGGGGGGAAGTAAAATCTGTTTTAGCCACATAATTTCTATTTCTCTTATACATTAATCAAATTCATTTGCTTGATGCCTGTTCATCTTTAAAGTAGTTGGAAACTTCTGGCTCTTCTGATGCTGCTTTATCTTTTGGTAGTCTGGAAATACAGTGAATGCCTGTGCATGCTAACAACTGTGTTGCAGCACTATCATTATCTATGTTCTCTATTCCCTGTCTCCAAACTAGCCCAAAAAGGATGCAGGAAAGATAGGAAAGATATAAATGATAGGAAAGATATGAAGATATAAAACAGTTTTACATATCGTTACCCTAGATCAGGGTGTCAAACTCAAGCCCCGGGGGCAGGATCCAGCCTGCGGGGTGTTAGATCTGGCCTCCGGGGCTGCCCTAGAAACAGAGAAGGACTAGCCTGAGGTGCCTCTGTCAGCAAAAAGAGCTCGGGAGGGCCAAGTGCAGCTCTCCCAAGCTCCGTTTTCAGCTGCAACAGTCTCCTGCAACCTTCTGCCAGCGAAAACGGAGCTCAGCCATCAGGCCATCACAGGCACCCCTGACATGAGTGACGTTGAGCTGGCCACACCCACCCTGGCCACTCCCACATGGTCCCCCCCAAGGTCAAACACAACCCTAAAGTGATCCTCAATGAAATCGAGTTTGAGACCTAGAGATTTCATGGTGCATACAGTGAATTATGTAATACTTGCTGTCATTAAAAATATGTAATAATATTTGGTGCCAGTTATTTTTATTTTCATTAAAAATAACAGAAAAAGGAGAAAAAATAGAGGAATAATCCTTCTAAGGAGCTACCCTTTCCAGCAGTTGTCTATGGAGATTCTCAATCATCCAGGAAACATCTTGAAAGTCCAGTTGCCTTTTGTAAAAGCACCATTGGAATTTCCAGAGGTTATTATGACTAATTGTATCAGCCATCCATTTTCCTGACTGAAATAAAAGCTTCAAAGTCCATTCAAGGAGATCACGTTTAAAAAAAGTTATTTGAAGTAAGCACAAAGGTACTCACGCTTTTCCTGAATGTAAAGATAGCCCTCCATGGTGAAGGGGCTGATGTTTTTGTGCTCATGAGGATTCTCCTTCATTTTCTTCATCAAGGATTCAACTTCTGATCGGGTGCCTTCAAAACGGTTTCTTGTCTGCATTTAAAGATGAAAGGAAAATGAGCACTGTAGAAAGTATTTCAGTCAAGTTTTAAATGCACAGAATATTATATTATGGTCATATAAGAAATAAGATTGGCCCAAGAATGAACGCTACCTGAGGCAGAACCACAAATGAAGAGCAGCCATGCCAACCAGATTCTTTAGTAATATGAGACAGAGCGGACTTCAAGAATTTCGTATCTAAATCAGAAGCTGTGCAACAATTCTGAATTAGCAGGTAACCAATGGCTTGTTGGTTTTTCATAGCATCAAAATCTGTTGCCTTAGGTGGGTTGCCATATTTTCCCTAATACCTTTACTAGTTAGAAATAACATATGGAAAGCTTCACACATGCATTGGGCTCACAACTTGATTCAACTGACGTGAAAGCTGCATGTTTTAAGCCAATATGTTGCCATATATCCATTGTATATATCAATCTTTATGATGCCTGTCAATTAGTTGCTTGTTTTCTCAGAATAGAAAACTACAGATACGCATAGAATTCAGTTAGGACAGAAGCATAAGATTTTGCCTTATACCCATCAGACCACCAGTGAGTCTAGACTAATACTAGTAGTAGCAACTAACAGTGGCTCACTAGAATAACGGTCCCCAACATTTACAGCTTGGCAGCCTGGCTTGGGGAGTGAGGGAGTGGAACTGGACCACACAAGTGACGGGCCAGTGCACACATGCACATGCAAGCTCTTCTTGCACGAGCGGCGCATGGCCTGATTCCAAATAGGCCACAGCCTGGTAGTGGGCCATGGTCTGGAGGTTGGAGACTCCTACACAAGAGTGTCAAGCTGAAGTTTCTGCACACTAACTAGAAAGGCCAGGTGGGTTAATTAACCTACCCTAAAATAAATTCATTGTTAGAACATAATCACTGTTATTTCTTCTTAATCTTGACACGTATGTTCAAGATTAGAATGCACGGACAATAGTATTGTAAATATAGGCTGTAATGGGATTCATTTAACCTTTCCATACATTATCAATTTCTTTTAAACTACATCCAGGCATCATCTATTTATATAAAGCTTTACAAAATACAGAGGGCAAGAAATCTTAAGACAACTGAAAAATGTCTATGGAATATAACAAATCTCAATATTTTGAGAGGTTTTGAAGGACAATAGCTATTAGAAACTCCTAAGCATATTTTTTGTTTTCAAATGGAAACAAAAATATCTTTTTTATTGATGAAGCATGCTGCCAGTATAAAAACAGAGTAAACATTATTTACATTAAGTCCTGCCACCAATATTCATGTCTGATAGTACCTTCTTGAAAAAAATAACCAAAAGGTTTAGGTATGTTATGAATTTATAGGACATTTAAAACTTGTATTAATATAAACATCTTGTTCATAAGACAAAAGTAAATATGCTATTTTGAAATTGTTTGCTTAATGTCCAAGTTTACCAGCCACCAATGGAGAAGGAGGAGGAGGAAGAAGAGGAGGATTTTGCTTATAGTTATACAAATTAAACTTTCATTAACATAGGAGTCCCTGCAGATTTTACTCCTCTAGTTGTAGCCAACTATAGGGGGCAATGGTCATCCCCGTTTCAAGGCCAATGAGCCAGCACTGTCCAAAAATGTTTCTGCAGTCGTGTGGCCAGTGTGACATCACAGAGCTACCTTCACACTGAAGTGGTACCTATTCATCTACTTGCATTTGCATGCCTTCAAACTCCTAGGTTGGCAGGAGCTGAGGCGAGAACAGGAGCTCACCCCATCATTCAACTCTCAGGTCTCAAACCTGGGTTATTGCCTTTCCAGCCAACAAGCCCAGCATTTTAACTGCTGAGCCATCACACTATCCCTTTTATTAACATAAACAGCAAAATATGCTTGGGCAAAAAGTTGAGGAACAACACTTGAAAGAGATCCTTTATCTGCAATAAGTGTTTCTGCTTACATTTTGTATACTGATTGTCAGCTCTGTCTTGAAATCACTGAAATCCTTTGCAAGCTCATAGCCGTGATGGTAGAATGTGAACAGCCCTTGCAGAAATGCCAGCAGCTGCAGGGGAGGAAAAAAACAAAACAAGGAACTGGATTACAAGACTTTGTTGGTTTCTTTTTAGGTAGTAGAGGACAATTGTTCCTGTCCTCTTTCTTCCCACCATACAATCAGAAAGGATGCCATGGCTGCAGTCCATTACGCATAACACAGAATAATTTCTGCTAAACTCATTTGGGATTGCTTTCTCAGTACACTTTATATGCTACTTTATACTGCACCAAAAATGAAACAAAAAAATTTAGAGGGTAATATCCAGGGATATGTTTAAAAATGGACTGGCAGAAATATTGTGATTTAAATTTTTAAAATTACACATAATATTCTATTCTATATCTCCTGAATCTTCTTTTCAGACCACTTTTAATCCTCTTTAGATTTATTATGGAAGGTTAACAATTGCAGAAGCTCTCCTCTTTATTTCTTAAGGCTGAAACTCAACAAACATTCAAATCAGATTGAATTTATTTCTATGCATGCTTATTTGATAGTAACTCCATGAAGCACAGATAAGCCTTTTGCAAATAAACATATAAAAGTATCCCAAATCTTACATCTTCATCGTCATCTTCACCATTATCACCACATCCCGCCTTTATTTAGTACAATTCAAAGTGGTGTACGTAATGTTCCTGCCTCCTATTTTCTCACAACAGCAACATGGTGAGGTGAGGTGAGGTGAGGTGAGGTGAGGTGAGGGAGAATAATTGTCCCAAGATCACCAGCCAGCTTTCATGTCTAATGAAAGACTAGAATTCCAAATCATTTTGTACAATCTTTGGAGTTTCCAAAAGTTTTTTTGTTTCCAGAGGGAAACAAAATATTGGACAGATCTAAACAATTTTTAACAGTTTTGGCCCATTTATGTCACCGTAAGACAAATAAATACATAAATAAGTTTCCTTGTGTGTCTAATCACACGGCCAATAAAGTATTCTGTCTATTGATCATATACATTTATGCAGTTTATGTCTTTTCTCCCGGATAACTGAGGGGAGAATCTGGCAGGATTAACAAGAGAAAATCAGCAGAAGCAATAGCTTCCATCAAAGCATTGACAGGAAACCAGAAATGCCTGCTTCATCTGTGCCCCTAACTTTTCTGCATCTACAGAGAAGTCAGCATAAGAAGGCTGCAGCCCTTTTCAAACACACTCAGCTACGATGATCTGTTAAGCAGAAATTCTGCTCAAAGTTCTTTATCATATGAACCATTTGTTCTATTTATATAGAATCAATTATTTTATATGTATCATATATTTAACTTAAGCAATGTATCTGCTGTATCCAGTGCCACCTGCAGTTCAAACAAAGAAATGACATTGAAGTAATAAAACACATAAAGTAGAGGCCTTTATGACTTCAAAGCTACAGGAAGGAAGGAAAGGATTCCCACCCATCCTTCAATAAGAATAAAATATAAATAATCAGCAAAGTTGTTGAATCTTACTTAAAGTAACAGGATTTTTTAAAGAAGAGAAAGAATTATCCATCTCTCTCTCTCTCTTTCTCTCTCTTTTTTTGGGGGGAATAAGGACACATTTTTTTCCCAAATGCTTCAGAAATATAAAAATGCTCAGGCAAATTACAAGATACTGATTTTTTTTTTAAATTTGAGAGTAAGCATATGGTCTGATTTAGGGCCAACAAAGCATAGGAGGAAAGCCAAATAATCCCCACAGCTATCTTGTTTAGAATAATGAACAAAGAAATACAGAGATTCATTAAAAAAAACAAAAGCAAAATTGGAACTCATTGATTCCCAAAAAACAAAATGCCAGCAGAGTTGCATATATATATATATATATATATATTTCTTTTGAAAAAGGATTTAACTTTAAGATAATGAATTTCTACTGAATAAATCTAATGTCAAAAATGTGGGTTGCAAGCATTTTTACATCAACCTTCATCACGAGGTCACTGGGCATCTTACCCAAGTCAACATAAAACACCATAATCCTCTGCATATAGCTGTCAGACATTTCTAACATTTGACAACGGGGCAAGATCCAAGGCTATGTAGCAGCAACTCAAATTCAATCATTCCTAAAGGAGGCCAATTATCTTGATCCAATTTCAAACTGCCTGATTACATAACATGTTTTTCTCCTCAGGGCCAAACTAGAAGAAGGTGATCCAGTCGGTTTTGCTGGATATTTCAGTCATTTTCAGTGATTTCATTCATAGTATCTTTCTGAATTATTTTGTTATAATTTATTTTGACGTGATTCAGAAAAGCAGATTCCAGGAATGTGATATTGAGTACATCAACCTATGACTTACAGTGCCCTGAAGCTGTCTATTCTGATCCCCATTTTGTCAGGTTCAACAGGATCTAACAGTGACCATGTCCACTCCCCAGGCATCTCCAAAGGACCTATGCCACACCTGGCCCCCAACTGAGAATAAATCTGAGCCAACATACATTGTAGTCCTTTCTCTTCCAATTTTCCCCACAACAACCTTGTGAGGTCGGTTGGGCTGAAAAAGAGTGGCTGGTCCAATGTTTCCAAGCTGGCTTTCATGACTAAGGCAGAACTAGAATTCATAGTCTCCTGGTTTCTAGGCCGTAACCTCTTACACATATGCACACATACTTTATCAATGGTCCCCAATGCTTCTCAACCACGACAGCAGAAAGTGTGAGAGATCATGGATAAAGGAACTAGAGAGCACAGAGAACATCCCATTCTTCCCTAGATACTTGTATAGCAAAGCAGGAGAGGAAAAGGCAAGATTCAAAGAAAATACAACCTGTGATTAAACAGCAGCCCTTCAGCCTCTTTTCCCTGCTATTATTACCAATCAACCAAGCAACATCACTTCTCTGTCATTTCTCTCTTAGCTGGCCAGAAATAGTTTGAGTACTGATTTACCCTGTAAACCAAACACAGTAGTGCCAGAGAGCAAATCTAGCTCGTTCCTCTCATGAGGACTACTGAAGTAATACATTTCCATCACTTGAAATAGAGCCGCAGAAATGTAGCATTTCTTGAATAACAAATAAATAAGAACTTCCTTTTCCTGGCTTTGTTTGCTACACATCCAAAATGGGAGCTTTTCAGCAAATCAGTCTCTTCGGAACCTGCTATTGGCTTTGATGTCCCCTTCTCTTTCCCCTCCAAATCTCACCTGCTTCTAAAGTTTATGGTTAGAAATATATTTTACCAGAGTAAACATCTAAGTAACTTGGTGCTGGAGCCATGACTGATGCTCATTATGATTATTTCCTTCTCACAGCTAAACAGATCACTGAACATAAGATATTAGTATATCCCGAGCAGATATAGCATCTGAATGTGCAACAAATCTTCACAAAGAATTTACTGTGACATTTCAGATTCAATTCCAATTCTGCTTCAGAAATAGGGGCACAAATCTAACAGCTACATCTTTCCCCAGATTTTATATAATTTCAGGAACAGGGACAGCTACTTGAAAGAGTTACAGACAGGTATTATGTTAATATCCCAGCTTGCTCTGAAGCACTTTGAGTCAAATCACAAGCACTGCATAACCCAATCGTTTGTAACGATTGGGCAACTTACAGTAATATTCTCTTTTAATGGTTTTTCTTCAGAGCTACTGTATTTCTTCAGCTAAGAACATACTGGAATTAAAATGTTGTAGCAGCATAAAGACAACAGCAACAGTTGATAATTAAACAATTTCAGTATCCACCTTTCCTTACTAAGAATGAAATTAGAACCAATGGTAAATATTCATATTTGTGATATTTGGACGTAATTATTTCCATTCTGTTCACACGGAAATTGTTTCTATGCTGCTTCCTGAAGGTAACTTATTCCTAGGGATGAGCAAATTAAGTTTCACTTAGGCCTTTTTAGGTTTGTACATTGAAACAAAAATATGCATATATTTATCTTTTTTTTAACATATTTCACTTAATGTATGCAACTCTGGGCTCACTTTTTCTAGAAACAATATTTTAAAACAATATAGATATTCTGATGGCATCTTTTTCTGAGTGCAATTTTTTTTTCACTCAACTCTTATGCTTTTGCATATATTTTTTAAACCCTCAAAACTAAAAAAATTAGGAAAATACAAATGTCAAGTATTCTGATTTATGTATTGTTTCCTCACATATATCATGGAGATGGAAGAAGAAAAAGCCACTTTATCATTACTTTCTAAAGCATTCACCATACCTTAATTTATTGTTGTTATATTTCAGAGAAGAAGAAATGCTTGACAAACATTTACTTACTGGTTCCACAAACTCAAACATCTTTCTTTCCTGAACTTCTTGTACTTTGAAGACATACTCAAGAGAAACTTCATAAAAGTGCTGCCTGACCAGGTCCACCTGGGTATCTGCCTGTCAATCGTCATGCGGATTAAAAAGGAAATAAAGCAAATAATTAACTGTGAGCATTTGACATCAAGATTATACAAAGGCTGTTCGTTTGTATAGAACTTTCCCAATTAAGTATATTTAATTCTAGAATTCTACAGAGCAAAGGGCTAAGCTCTTAAGAAAAATTGCCTTGTCTGCCCAATAGTTCATGATGTACAAACTGAAGCTGGCAAACTTCCTTAAGTGAATAGAGTAGCATTCTGAGAATCTGAGATTTCTTCAAAGTTAATTGAAGATTTCTCACAGAGATGATTGGTACAAGTTCCCGGCTCAAAAATAATGATAGCTGATGGACTCTGAAGCCCTATAAGCAGATAAACCTATCAAGTCATATTTTCTGCTGCCTTTCAAATGTTTTGGAGTACAACTCCAGGAATTTTGACAATCCTGGTTAGCCATCCAAAGATTTTTACAGCAACAGAATATGGGGGAGTTCATTTGGAGAGCACCGAATTGGACAAGAATGCAGCATAGAATACTCTTCCAAATCTTCTGCAAAGCAGATGCATTTCACTGTAAAATACAATTATTTGGTGTCAGATAAAATGATAAGCAGAGATTCCAGAGCATGGGAATTTTGAGAACTACTGGTCGAAGAATAAGGGGCTTTTTTCTTATTCTTAATTTTAAAAAAAACACATATGAGTACTTATCACAAAGATATGATGCACACTGAATGCGATCAGATTCATTTAGAATCTTTTTAACTATTTGACAAAGATGGGAATGGTCAAAATAACAATTATGGAAAATAAAACCAAGCTAGTACTCAGAGAAAGAGAGTTGCAATACTATGGACCTAAACCTAATTTTTCCATGTGCCTTTGGCATTTAGTCAAAGAACAGGGTGATTTTTATTTCTGTTCTTTGCATACAATAATATGTCTACAAGGTAAAAAGAATTTTTAAAAATCATGTGGGACTAACAAAAGGCAGCCCACAGACAGAATATGTTTCTTTAGAAAGGTTTAAATCAAAAGTTTGGGATTTTAAAGGACTACCAGCAATCTAATGTTGGGCTGTAAAAAACTTCATTTCACACAATTATATTATGAGCTGTTTGTTAATTATTCATCCTTAATTGCATGGGTAAGATTTAATCCCAGCCTTTCTGGAAGAAACTCACCACCTGATATGCTTATGAAACTACTCAAGTTACAACTTTCAGATTCCTAATATTCTTTAAAGCTCTATGGCATTTGGAATCACTCAAGTTTTGAGACACTTTCTGTTTCTTAAGCATCATGGATGCTGTCCCAAATGTAGCATGTTTTCAGATATCTAACACACCTCAATTCAATTCAGTTTATTAAGGTCATAATAGACCACAGACCAGAACGAATAAAAACACTCAGTGAATATCCAATTAAAAAACTAGAATAAAATAATAAATGACAGGTAAAATCTTTGATAAAATCAAGTCTGTCAATTACACATGGTCTAACTATACCAAAATAACAACACACCTATGAAGTATCTGGGTGTTACTCATCAAAATCAAAATCCACAGAATTATTACAACCAACAAGCCCTTGCACTTGCATTTGCCCCTAATCTGACCATCATTCCCTTCTCAAAGCCCAACTGATGATCTAAACCAAGGGTCTTCCAACTTGGCAAGTTTAAGACTTGTGGACTTCAACTCCCAGAATTCCTGAGCTAACATGACTGGAGGAGGAATTCTGGGAGTTGAAGTCCACAAGTCTTAAAGCTGTCAAGTTTGAAGACCTCTGACCTAAACCTTCAGTCATTTAATATTTGAAAACTTGTAACCTCCTGTTTCAAAGCTGCAATCGTTTAGCTCCCTCACTCAAAATCCCAGTGCTTGAAGAAAAAAATAGATCTAGGCACTGAAGAGATTTTTATTTTGAAAAAAAGTAGTAAAAGCCAAAAGAGAGGGAAGTCTGCATCTCCAAAGACATTTATGTTTGAAATGAAGGTTGAAAAGGAAAAAAAAAGAAGAAGGGGGAGAAGAGCTCAAATCTCTACAGCAAGCTCGTCAAACTGGCAGCCCAGGGACCAGATGTATCACATGGAGGCCACGCCCACCCCGGATCCACAAAGACACAAAAGTCACAATACATCATATGATGAAATCAAGTTTGACACCCGTGCTCTCTAGAGAAAAATAGTAAACTTTAATATAAAATATGGACCACAAGATGGCACCAGTAGTCAAGTATTACACAGCTTTACAGGGAATTAGAAAACTGTGTAGCTAAAATTGTCATCTTGATGGTCTAGAGAGCAGTGCTTCTCAACCTCAGCAACTTTAATGTGGATTTAGTGTGGATTTCAACTGACAGAATTCCCAGCCAGCAAAATTACAGCGTTCTTTCTCTATCCTTACAATTCCAAATCTGATGGGAGTAGACAGCTGATTTAATTAAAAGTAATGGAAACTCTAACCTGGAATTTTAGAGAGAATTTAAAGAACTCCAAAATAAACTTGCTTCTTAATATACATACTTAAAAGTGCAACTTTAAGCCTTTCATTCAACAGCAATAAATAATCTTATGGCTTTATAGCGCAAGCAAACAAAACAGCCAATCTCACCTCTTGAAGCTGAGATTCTTTCTTCTTGGAAGACAAGTTTAAGTGCTTTTCTAATATTCCACAGTATTTCTCAGTCTCCTTGTCATACTTCTTCCTGGCTTCCTGTCAAAATATGCCCCATAAGAAGCCATGAAAAAATAGTGTTGCAATAATTATGCAGAGACATAAACACACACACATCAGAATGTTGTCCCATTCCATTCTATTAACTTTGATAAAAAGTTAATAGAAGATGTGGATCTTCCTCCTGCCTTCTGCCCATTATAGGTACAAGTCTGGGCCTCCATCATTGACTTTTGGCAATTCTGCAAAACAACAGCATAAACCAAGTTGTTTTAGCTGTGGCATGCAAAACTGCCACCAGAATGATCACTGACCCAAATTAATAGAGTTTAGCAAATTGCACTTAAAACATGAATACCCTTATCCTTCTTCCAGGTTGTTCCCAACAGCACTATGCCTCCCTCAATGTCAAAGGACATTATTGGATGAGGGACAACACAGCCTTTAATATTCTGGCAATTTGGGGGAAAGTTTTGCCTAGGGAGACATCCTTCCTTACATTATCATCCATGAGATCAGTGGCCTACACCATCAACATCACTTTCCCAAAACACAGCAAATATCTCATAAAACTAGCTGATCATACCTTTTCATTCCAGAATAAGGGTACTGCTCTGGAATTTGGGGTCACTGAACTACAGTAGAGATGGCAAATATCTCCACTGAAGTAGAAAATGTATTTTATACCGCTATGGATGCTATGCATCCCCTCAAGGAAGTGAACAGAATAGGGCACATAGTGATGGACAATTTATTTGCTCAGCCGATTTGCTGAGCACCCCAAGGAGGCATATATAAGCTGGTGAATCTTTTCTATGGGATGTGGGAAAACCAACATAATAAAATTGAAACTAATCTTGACATTTATAAAAAAGCCCAGATAATGCATGCAACATCTGAAAATTATTGCTAATAATTTTGGAAACTGGCTGAAATTCTACCAGATTTTCCTTTCTTTTGGGTAAAGAAAATGTTTTTTTTATGTTGACACTCTTTCTTCCCCTATTAGTTATTTACTCCCATATGCATTTCCTTTTTGATATGGCTGGCTAGACATAGAAATTTGTCATTGCATTACACCTCATGTTCTACTTTGAACAACTGGAAATGGGGGGCGGGGGGTATGGAAAGAAATGTTAAAAGGGAAATAATTTTGTTCCATCTGTATATATCAGCAATTAATTCTAAGTGTTCATTGACTTTGCTTGCCTGCATTACTTAAAGGACTACTATATTTAGCTTAATTGCCAGGCTTAATTGACAAATCATCTTCCTCCTCTATGTACCAAAATTACTCCATCATGACATATACCCTCCTAGACTTCCAAATGTTTGTAATATAAATAAGTAATCTGTGATTCAAAACTTTATGTCTCCCTTAGTTGCATCATCCTCAAGGATACTGATAAAGGGTATATTTTATTTGTGGTGTCCTTGCTGAACTTTTTACTCTTGGTTGTTTGCTTGCAGCTGTTTCATTACCCAACTAAGTAACATCAACAGTGGCATTGATATTACCTAGTTGGATAATGAAATGTCTACAAGCAACAACTAAGCTCAGGGATCATCAAGGACATCACAGTTCAACTCTGAGCTACATATATTCTCTTCTATATTTACATTTCTCCCATTTAATTGACATTTGCACTTTTCAAAGGCTACGTATTCTGTATAGCAAAGTGTTCTCCTTCCAGACTCATATTCTTATGTACCTCTATCAGTACTCCTTAGAAATTATAAAGCAAATGGGCATTGGTTCTTACCTGATACGCCTCTTCTCGTGGAACTGCGTAGAGCATCCAGAGAGTGGGAGGTGCTCCAGTCTTCACTTCTCACAGGCTGAGCTATAATTGAGGAACGCTCCTCCTCCTCCACATGACTCCTCCATGCGTTCCCCCAGTTTTAACGAAGACGAGAGGACAACAATAATCCTCTAACCTTAACTATTATACAAATCTCAACTATATACAAAAAAGATCATTGGCCGAAACAGGATTTCCCACCAGACGGACCAATTAGGGTGGGGCTGGATGCTCTACGCAGTTCCACGAGAAGAGGCGTATCAGGTAAGAACCAACGCCCATTCTCTGTAGAACTGCTGCGAGCATCCAGAGAGTGGGACATACCAAAGCATGTTTGTCCTACGGGCGGGACTCCGTCTGGGTCGGAAACTCCCTAGGTTCTCTCGCCACTTGCTGCAGGACTCGCCTGCCAAAGGATGCCTCAGCTGAAGCGTAAGAATCAATTTTATAGTGGCGTATAAAGGGAGACGGAGAAGCCCAGGTGGCCGCCCGGCAAATGTCAAGAATAGAAGCCTGAGTAGCCCAGGCTACCGAAGTAGCTGCACTCCTGGTGGAATGGGCGGTTATCCCACTGGGGACCGGAAGAGCTTGAATTAAATAGGCCTTAGAAATGGTAGCTCTAATCCATCGGCCCACCGTGGACGGGGATACCTTACAGCCCAGCGTCTTTGGCTGAAAGGACAAAAACAGAGACTCTGTTCTCTTGATGGACTGTGTGCGAGAGATGTAAATACGTAGAGCCCTTCGAACATCGAGGGTGTGCCACTGTCTTTCTCTTTCGTGCAAAGACTTTGGACAGAAATTAGGTAGGACCAACTCCTGTGCCCTGTGGAATGCTGTGTTGATTTTTGGTAGAAAGGAAGGGTCTGGTCTCAGAACCACCCGATCAGAGTGAAAAATGCACAGGTCCTTTCTCACGGATAGAGCTGCAATTTCAGATATCCTTCTAGCCAAGGTTATTGCCACAAGAAATACCACCTTAAAGGTGAGAAATTGAAGTGGCGCCTCCCTGAGAGGCTCAAAGGGAGGTTTAGTCAAAGCGATGAGAACATTGTTAAGGTCCCATGTCGGGTATCTGTGCACCACTGGCGGGCGCAAATTGGAAGCTCCTTTAAGAAAGGCCTTAATTCGAGGGTGGTGGGAAAGAGGGCCAGAGGAGCTGCCAGCAACCACCGTTGATAGGGCCGCGACCTGCCTTCTCAAAGTGTTGGGTGAGAGGCCTCCATCTAGGCCGTCTTGTAGAAAGGCCAGGATCTGCGCAATTGAAGGAGAATGTGGATTGATGAAGGATTTATGGCACCACTTACAGAAACTGCTCCAGGTTGCATCATAAATGCGAGTAGTAGAAGGCCTCCTAGCAGCTAGAATGGTGTTAATGACCTGGGCTGACAAACCCTCCTCAATCAGCCTTTCCCGCTCAACTTCCAGACGGCTAACTGAAGCCACTGTGGGTCTGGATGAAGCAGAGGGCCCTGTGACAGAGAGATTTGGTCTAGCGGGATCCTCCACGGCGGAGCTACCGACAGACTGCGAAGGTCCGCAAACCACGGTCTCCTGGGCCAATATGGTGCCACCATGAGGATCTCTGCCCTCTCGAATATCAATTTCCGAATCACTCTGGGGATCAACGGAAGTGGAGGGAAGGCGTACAGAAGCCCGGGAGGCCAAGGGCAATGCAGTGCATCGTGATTCTCTGCCCCGTTGGAGGGGTAACGAGAGAAGAACCTTGGTGTTTGCGCGTTGAGTGGAGATGCAAACAGGTCTACCAGAGGCTGACCGAACATGGCTGCTGCCTCCCTGAACAGTTGCGGGTGTAGATGCCACTCTGCTTGGTCCAGTGTGGCCCTGCTCAGCCAGTCTGCTTGGACGTTGGAGGTTCCCGAAATGTGCTCCGCTCTGATGGATAAAAGGTGTGCCTCTGCCCATCGACACAGCCGCTCGGACTCCCTCATGAGGAGGATGGAATGGGTGCCCCCTTGACGGTTGATGTGGGCCTTGGTTGTAGTGTTGTCCGTTAGGATCAGGATATGGCGCCCTCTCACCTGAGGAAGGAAAGCTCGCAGGGCCAGGTACACTGCGCGAAGCTCCAACCAGTTGATGCTGCGACTTCGCTCCGTAGGAGTCCAAACTCCCTGGGCCGACAGAGACTGCAAGTGGGCCCCCCATCCGGAAAGGCTTGCATCTGTTGTGAGAGTGACCCTTTGGGGCTCCTTGAAAAGATACCCTCTGTTGGTAGAGGGTCGTGTCCACCCTAAGAGGGAGGCGAGGACCCTTGGAGGCACTTTCACCACGAGGCCTGATGTGCTCCTTCCTGAACGCTGGTATGGCAGGAGGAACCACTGCAAGGATCTGGAATGCAAGCGAGCCCATGGGATAATAGATATACAAGAAACCAGCTTCCCAAGCAGTTTGGATAAATTGAGCAAAGATGCTCTTCCGGTTTGTCTGATAGCCCTGATAGCTGTATGGATACTATTGAACCTCTCCTGAGAGAGGAAGACCTTCCCTTTAACAGAATCAATCACAGCCCCTAGGTGGGCTATACGGGTGGAAGGGCTAAGCTGACTCTTCTCCCAGTTCACTAAGAAGCCGTGAGCCTGAAGCACCGAGAGGGTAGTGTTAGTATCACTCTCGGCCTGATGCCGTGAAGGAGATACAATAAGGATATCATCAAGGTAACAGTGGATGCGGATGGGAACCTGCCTAAGGTGGGCCGCCAGAGCTGCCAACACCTTAGTGAAGGACCTCGGGGCCGAGACGAGGCCAAAGGGAAGGGCTACATACTGGAAATGCTGATTGTTATAACAAAACCTCAAATACTTGGAATACGAGGGACGGATGGGGATATGGAGATAAGCCTCAGAGAGGTCAACAGATGTAAGCCAGTCCCCCTCTCTGATGCCCTGCAAAATTGACTGAAGAGTATGCATTTTGAATTTATGGCGTATGATATAACGATTGAGCCTCTTAAGGTCCAAAATGGGTCTCCAACCCCCGGAATGCTTAGGCACCAAGAACAAGAGGGAATAGAAACCTCTTCCCCGTTGTGAGGGCGGTACCGATTGGATGGCCCTAATATCAGACAGATGTTTGATAGCGGAAGCCATAAGGGCCCGCTTAGTGGGATCTCTAGAGATGGGTGAAATTCTGAAATGATCAGGGGGGGAAGTGTGGAACTGCAGAGCGAGGCCAAAACAAACGGAGTCCCTGACCCAGGCGTCTGAAGTGGATTCCTCCCACTGGTCGGCAAAATGCCTGAGGCGGCCGCCTATGGGATGAGGACCTGAAATCCTATCTGTGTCGGCGGGACGCCTTGTTCCCAGTACCCCTAAAGGGCCTTCTGTAGCTGCCTCCTCTCCTGCTTCTGTCTCCCGAGTCACCCCGGTCCTGGTAGGATGACCGGAATGATGGGGAACCCTGAAATCTAGGGGTGAATGATGGCTGGAAGGGGGGACGAAAGGAGCCCCTCCGAAAGGGCTGGGACCCTCTGGTCTCTTGCCTACGAAAAAACGAAGGAAGGAACTTTTTCTTATTCCGAGTTTCCAGAAGCAATGGCTCAAGAGCAGGCCCGAACAGTTTCCCCCCTGATATGGGGGCTGAAGCCAACTTGGACTTATTTTTGATGTCGGCCTGCCAGTGCCGAAGCCAAAGCAATCTTCTGGCAGTTACGTGAGAGGAGATGGCCCGGGGTGAAAATTTAACAGAATGAAAGGTGGCGTCGGCTGCAAATTCTGCCGCTGCCGTGATCTTTGCAATATCCTGATGGGCCCTGGTGTTAGTTGGGGGGATATGCTGCTTCAACTGCCTGAGCCACCTGATGGAGGATCGGGAGAAGAAGGAAGCGGCAGTGGCCGACCGGATGGCCCAAGCATCAGATTGGTGCGCTCGCCGGAGCGCCATCTCTGCCCGCTTGTCCTCTGGCTTCAGCGCCTCGAGTGCATCAGTAGGATTGGAAGAGGAGGCTAGTCTCACAATCGGATCATCTACCTCCGGTGTGTTTAACATAGTAGAAAATTCCGGGTCAAGATTAAACAACCTCTTGTCCTGGCTAGAGGGGGCGGGAGAAGGACCTTGCAACCAAATCTGAAAAGATCGGGGGGGTCGGAATAATTTCCGTTTCTACCACCGGTTGTCTGAACATTAGGTCATCTGGACCCTCTGGGTTCGATGGAGGTGGATCAGAGGGAGCTGGCAAGGTCAGACCTGAGACGTTTCTTGCCTTAAATAATAAGGACTTAAATAAATGAGGTTTAAAAAGGCCCACAACAGCTGGTTGCTCGGGGGAAATGCCCTCGTCTTCTGACATTTCCCCCTCCATGGGGTCTGCCTCGAGAAGGGGCTCGGAATATTGTAAGGACCCTCTATCAGAACCTTCTTCCTCCCCGAAGGGCTCAAAGCCCACTTCCTCCTCTTCCTGGATTTCTTCCCCCTCTGGGAATGGGGCATCCATAGGAGCAGGTACCTGACCATGTTGAGATGCTGGCCTGGAGAGAGACCTTCCGGATAAAGACTCGACTTCGGGAGACCTCCCTCGAGAGTCCGGTCTGGACAGCTGCTGCATTCCTTCGGCTATACCCTGACGGATGGCAATCTGCATCCACTCTTTAATACTATCCGGAATGATGGTTGAAGCCGGATCTTCAGTGCGTAGGCCTGCAGTGGTTGGCGTAAAGGTCGCCTCGGGCGTACGGGAAGGCTGGCGGCCTTGGGCGGTTATACTGCACCTGGAGGGAGAAGATTGACTTGGCGGGGGGGGGTTGAGCGGAGGTAGAAGGTAGGGCAGGGGTTACAGAATGTGTGTCTTTAGAACGTTTGCTAAACACCTTTTCCAGGGCCTTATGGCGCCTTAAGGCATCTCTTTGAGAGGCACTGGAAGAGTCCTTGTCCCTTTTGCGAAGATAGTATGTCTTTGACTTGGCCTTTAGAGAAGAGCCAATTGGATTGCCCTCTGCCATGATACCAAGGAAAAAAATTGGCAACAAAAGAACGGCGGTTGGCACGCCTAGGAGTTCGGCTTACCACGTAAGCCGGTTTTCCCAAAGTTGGGTCACGTCCCCCTTTTGGAATAAAAAGTTTTGTTCTCTGTATTCTAATTTTTTTTTTTTGTTTTATTATAAATTTTTTTTAACACTATGCACTAAAGGGAAGAAAAATTCTATCTAAAATTAATATTTACATACAGAAATTAATTACTATTTTAATTTGTATTTATTTTTATTTATTTATTATTTATTTTTTTTGTGGGCGGGGCCCAAAGGAAAGGAAGGTCAATTAAACACAAGGAAATGGTAGTAAAAATCTACTATCTCTAATCTAAAATCCAAATAAACCAAATGAACGCTGAGGCCAGAAGAAAAAACTATGTATAAACAGAGAAAAAAGCAGGCCTCCTAGGCAGCCTCCCAGCAACAATGGGAAGTAAGTGCCTGCGCCTCTGAGGGAGCTGCGGGCAGGAAAAAAAGGCCAACGATGTCTTTCAAGGAGAGACAACAGGGCACGGAACCACAGTATCCTCCAGGAAGAAAAAGGGGCTCCACACGGCCTGACGGTCCCACTAAGGGCCTATAAAAACCTTGCAGCTCACAAATCAAAGTAAAAAAAAAATTTAGATTTAAATTGATCCAAAATGGCGCCGGCCACGAGGCGCGCCCAAAATGGCCGCCCGGCTCGACGTGAACAACTCAGAGATGCACCAGCCCGATCTTGCAGCTCTGACAATGAAAGGTACAGACAAGGGCTGGGAGAGGAAGCGTTCCTTCCTCTAAGGCGTTCTCGGGGGGAAGACGCAACTGCGCGCTAAAAATAGCACGGGGCCAAGCGGCTGAGCAAAGCGCGCTTGGAATGAGGCAGGGGAAGAAGGAGGAGGGGTGGGGGGGGCAGAAAAGGCTCCGAACCCCATATCACCCCCCCTGAGAGCGAAATCGCACTCCAGTTAAGTTTAGGACCACACCAAAATCGCAGGGACAAGGAAAAAACGGAGAAAAGCAAACCTGAATACAGCAGATAGGAAAAAACCTGAAACGGCCAAGGAACAATAGAAATAGCTGCCTGTCTTCTCGAAGGCTGAGCTAAAACTGGGGGAACGCATGGAGGAGTCATGTGGAGGAGGAGAAGCGTTCCTCAATTATAGCTCAGCCTGTGAGAAGTGAAGACTGGAGCACCTCCCACTCTCTGGATGCTCGTAGCAGTTCTACGGAGAATAACATCTACAATTAATGTGTTAGTATGTTCAACTAACTTCCGTAGGAGAAATCTGTTAACCAGCTTCTGGTATTCTCTACTTTTGATAGCAGAAAACCAGTCACTTGCTCTAATCTAGTAGTTTTAATAAAATGATTATGCTCTTCCAATTGTTGGAGAATTCTTAAGTGAGTTTTTCCACCACACTATGTGTACATATGCATGTCCTTTCTTACAAGGAGCATGTGATTACAGATAACTCGTACCAAGATCTAATTGATTTTGGATATACCAGTGATCCAAATGAATGTAATGGTTGCTATGATGATCTTTATCTGTATGTGTCCATTAATATCACAACCAACATAAGTAATAGTTTATATGCCACCTGACTTTCAGTGACTTTTAACACATTGTTAAAAATATTGTTAAAAACACAAAAAACAAGAAAACAATGCAAAACAAAAAACAGCAAAGATGGCGCAGATAATAAATCCAGAGAGGAACAAAAAAAAAGGGCTTCAATCACACTAGCTTGGGCAAAATCCAGGCCTTCAATGTCCTTTGAAACATCTGCAGGATGGTTACCTCAGGGGGAACCTCAGCGTGGATAGTGGAGATGGTGAAGATGGGAGTACTCAGAAGGCTCCAGGTTGATGAAGTGTATAGCAGAGTCAGAATAATTTCCATGCAGGTGCCAGAATAGCAAAATATTCTTCATGATTATTACTACTGACACAGTAATAGCTTTTATTGCAAATGCGAAGCGGATTATTTCCAATGCCTCCTACAATTTTATTCCTGCTTTGGTGTCACTCCTAAGTATTGCAGAAATAAGAAGCAGTAGAGAATTTTGTATGAAGAACTGCTGAATAAAAAGAATTTGGCAGGAAATCATCTATCTTAACCAGAAATCTCAGGTTGTTATAGCAACAAAGCAGGAGTAGAAGGTACAATGCCTTGGAGCAGAAAAGAAAAAACCTAGAGCTATACCTAGCTCATTATTACTATTATTATTTTTAAAAAAGAGGGAAGGAGAATTCCAAGTTGTGAAACTTTTCCAGTAAGACCACTAGTTTTCGTAATACTCTTTGCAGACTTATGCAACTCTGTTGATGCTATGATGCCACTGGATGTGCCACAGATTTCTTCTTACCTCAATTGGGAAAGTGGGAATATTATGACTTCTTTATACTAAACAGCCAAACAAATGTGGATGTATGATAACATTAGGGACAACAAATGAAGTCAATGTTTTGCTGTCTGCTTTAGTGTTGTGGTAAAAATGAAGAATCTCTTTAGTACCAAATCTACTATATACTATATACAATTGTTCAATTGCAATAAATTTCTCTATTAAAATATGCAAGACAATCATCAAACACTCCTCTTTTGATTGATTGATTTAGAGGACTGGAGACTAAAACATGAAGAACAGTTACAAGAACTGGGCATGGCTAGTTTAATGAAGAGAAAGACCAGGGGACACATGATAACAATGTTCCAATATTTGAGGGGTTGCCACAGAGAGGAAGGGGTCTAAAGCACCTGTGGGCCTGACAAGGAATAATGGATGGAAACTGAACAAGGAGAGATTTAACCTGGAAATAAGGAGAAACTTTCTGACCGTGAGAACAATCAACCAATGGAACTTCCAATGGAAGTTGTGGGTGCTTCATCACTGGAAGCTTTCAAGAAGAGATTGGACTGCCATTTGTCAGAAATGATGTAGGGTCTCCTGCTTGGGCGGGTGGTTGGACTAGATGACCAACTCTGATTTCCTGTTATCTGTTATCTGATTGCTGTTGAAGAACTCTAGAAGAGGATTACCAAGAAAGGTTATTTACTTTCTGACAGAAAAAGCAACTGCTGATTCATGCAGATCTTCCAAACAATACTTCAAGTGTATTTTTCAAATCTCCTTCAAAGAGACAAGAAAACATTATCAATTTTTTCCACCTACCTTAGCAGCACCAATTTGCTCTTTTCGAAATTTCTCCAGAGGTGTGATTAGGACTTCACTAGCATTTTCAATCTGCCAAACAAATAGAAAAGAGATGCTTATTCTCTAAGTCTAAGCATCCAAATTCCCATGCTCGATTACTACAATTCTCTCTAAAGATGACAATTTTTTTCTTCCTAAAAGATCTGTATGATTCAGAATTTTATACACCATATAATTAGAGATCCCGATTTCAATTTTGCAAAATCAACTGATGTTACCTAGAGTAACATCATAAAGACTTGAAGGCTGAACAAGTCAAGATCTGTGGTTATTTACACAGCTTCTTTAAAGAATCAAAAAGAAAGTTAAGAGCGTTGAGGAGTTTCAGAAAACAGCTGGTTGCTACTACTAAGTACTGTACATTGCTGGTATTTGGAAACTAAAATAGGTCAGGCTTGGATAGTATTTTGATGGGAGAGCTCTGTGGAATATTATGAGTAAGGACTAAGCTGGGGAGTTGAAAAAGCATTCCAAAAGGAGGCAATGAAAAATTTGATAATCATTTGTTGTCAAAGCATGTGCATGAGATCACTAGGAATTGAGCTCAACTTGAAATAAATATTGATTTTTTTTTAACCTACATATAAACTGATGAATTTTTCCCCAATCTCTTCCTTTAGGTGGATCACTATAATACTGGGGAACATCCATAACGCCAACCCAGATGGATTTTCATATGGATTAAAAACAGGCTTTTTCCTGGGCACTGGGCCTGGAAGTTAAATAAGTTCATTTTTAGGACTCGTTCATGTGGATACCTGTACTGCTTCACATGTTATGTGTTTTGTTTTTGTTTACATTTGTATTGCTGTTTTTAATTTGTTGCTACTCAAGAATAAATGGCCAACTATACAAAGCAAAGAAATAAATGAGTTCATAACATAGAACCATCAGAAGAACATGGTCGTTTCATAAAACTCCAAAATTAAGTAGATTTATAAAATAGTCATTTCTTTAAGTGTTTCAATGTAATACTGCAATTCTAACTTTCATGCTTCAGACTGCTTGTTCTATTTTTGTAGATTTCCAATAGAATGTGATCATAGGCTGGAAATGTTTGCAGTGGAAGCAACTACAAACAAAGTAAAACCATGCTGAACACAATTCTGATTCTAAAATCAGTGTAAACACTATTAAGCTTTTCTAATTTTCCCCATTCAACCTTTTGCTACTTATGTAGATTCCCTTATTCAAGATATTCTATAGTTACAAGAGCCCTGATGGCGCAGTGTTACAATGCAGTATTGCAGGCTAACTCTGCTCACTGTCAGGAGTTCAATCCTGGCCAGCTCAAGGTTGAGTCAGCCTTCCATCCTTCAGAGGTCAGTAACATGAGGACCCAGATTATTGGGAGCAATATGCTGATTCTGTAAAACCACTTAGAGAGGGCTGTAAAGCACTGTGAAGCAGTATATAAATCTAAGTGCTATTGTTATTGCTACAAAGTCCCAATGAATCATAGAAGACAAGAAGTGTCTGGTTGAAAAGCTTTTTGTTTTAAAGCAGCTTTATCTATAACTTTTGAGACCAAGATCACTTAAACATAACAGAAGACTGATGTGGATGTTTGAATAGCCATGCTAGGCAGAGAAATTCTCCAACATTTTTTAATGTAATTCAATTAGCTGAAGAAATTCATTCACAGAGAACAGAGCCACAGAAACATTTTCAAAAGTAATATAAGGAGGCTCCTGATGTCAGTCACAAGAGCTGTGTGTGAATTTTCTGTCTGTCATTGTTACAATCATCTCAATAGCATGTCTGGCTTCCCATGTTTCGATTAAATCCCAAAGGAAGACATCATGAGGGAATTCCTCTAATTGTTTTTTTGTTCATACTTGAACTACTATCAGCTTCGTCCTGTTCTCACAGAGAAATCATCATGCTTGGCAGGCAGGCAGACTTGCTAAACTTTCCTTCTGGTTAAAAAACAGCCAGCCAGAGTGTGAAGCAGAAGCAAGATCTATGAATAGCCCAAGAGATAAGAGAAGAAGCAAAAGAATGTCGGGTCAAGGTACAAACTAGCTCAAACATTTCTAGGGTATACAGGATGAAGACAATCCGAGTCTTCTCTAAACAACTAGTTCTATATCCCAGGCTTCTAGCCTCCCCTGAACTACAAGAATCTCACACCAGCTCAATTCAAAGGGCCAATCTACATGAGTACAACAAAACCTCTACCAAAGGAGCCTTTCTCTAGTTCCATGATGATTAGCCTCTTTGCTTGAGTCACCATTATTCTTGCAGATTTCACCCCAGAGGCACAGATCCAAGATAAGTAGTGCCTTACCCCACAGTACTTGCAAGAGGGATCCGGATATCTTGGTAGACCACAGATTCAGCATGATTCAGCAGTGTGCTGTGGCTTCCAAAAAAACAACAACCCAATTCTACACTAAGCTTCAATCGAGATTGTGAGAAGTGATAGTACAATTCTCTGCTGCACTGGTGAGACTGCACCTGAACTACTGTGTCTGGTCTTGATGACTGATAAAAATGGCATTGAGAACTGGAAACAGTATGGAGAAGAATGACAAAGATGATAAGGAGCTTGTATGCTCGGTCCTACGAAGAGCAACTAAGGGACCTTGGTATATTTAGCCTAAAAAAGAGAAAGTTAGGAGGAGACATGATAGCAGTCTTTCAATGTATGAAAGGATGTCACAGGAAAGAGAAATAGATTTGTTCTAATTACTGCCTGGGGGGGTAAGACTACAATCAATGAGCGGAAGATTTATGGAGGGAGACACAAACTTGGAATAAGAAGGAATTTCCTAACTGTTAGAGCTATACAGCAATGGAACAGCTTGTTCCTGGAGTCATGGGTGCTCCATCACTGGAGGTTTTCAAGAAAAAATTAGATGGCTATTTGTCCAGGCTGGTATGAGGATTCCTGCACTAGGCCAAGAGTTTGACTACAAGACTTCCAAAGTCCCTTTCAATTCTATGACTTAAATCTTATAGTCCCTTCTACATGTGATGCTAGCAGTGACACTTTAATCCAGCTGGGAGCAAAAATGTCTAAAGAAGCTGGACTGCCATAATGCGATCTTTGTTCTCTGAGGGCAAGACCAAATAGATTCAGTGGCAGGCAGTTTGCTGTAATTTGCTATCCTTATTAAGCTGCCAAGATTTACTCCCTAAGGATGAATATTGCTATTCTTTTAGGCAGAGAAGTTGACAATTTGTAGAGCTATATCATGGCCATTGGCCAAAACAGGCAAGAGCATTGCAAAAATTACCCACAATTTCTTCTCAAAGCCAACATCTATCGAAGCCTATATAACAAGTTAAGAAAGTTGTTCTAGATCTTACTTTTCTAATCATAGCACACATACAGATCATGATCCTGACTCTTCCAAAGATCAGTTAATAGAAGATTAACAGGACAGAAACATATGGATAATGCTGCTTGCTGCCCTTTCTTTTTTTTAAAAAAAAATCCTCCTATTAAGAACAAATCTAGTACTTCCGGTGGTGTTCTTGTCGATGACAGACCAGAGACCGCGATTGTGTGCGGCTTTGATCCATGCTTGCCCAGTTTGAGGGGTCCTTTTTTTTTTAAACAAACTTTATTGATTATACAACTAAAATATCAAACAAACACATACACAACACACAGGAAAAAAAGAAAAAAGGAAAAAAGAAAATGATTAAAAACTAGCAATTCTATTATCAACAGTCTATGGTTCCTTGTTTATTATCAATATTGGTGATATATTTACAAATACATCTTATTGCGAATATATAATTACTACCTCTTTTTTATGTTGTTTACTAATATATCCAGTCATACCAGCATTCCCAGCTTCTATAATATTCTGATGGTTTTTTTTCCTTAAGTGCTAAGGTTAACTTATCCATCTCTGCACAGGCTGTTATCTTCTGAATGACCATTTCCTCTGTTGGAATATCTGCTTGTTTCCAACACTGTGCAAAGGTTATTCTAGCTGCAATAAGAATGTGCAGTATTATATATTTGACTTTTTTATAAATTTGTCTATTAAATATCCCCAATAAGAAGAATTCTAGTTTTAATTCAATTTGCTCCACCGTTATTTCCTCTAACCATTTTTTTATTCTATGCCAGTATCTTTGGGCTTCAGTGCAGGACCACCACATGTGAAAGAATGTTCCCTGTTTCTTTTTACATTTCCAGAAATTCGGATTCATGTTAGGAGACATTTTCGCTATTCTCGAGGGTGAGAGATGCCATCTAAAACATTTTATAGGCATTTTCTTTATATGTTGCTGATTTTGTAATTTTATTGTTCCTTGTGCAGACCTTTTCCCATTCTAATAATGTAATGCTACGTCCTATGTTTCTACTCCAAGCTATCATGTTGCCTTTGACTACTTCCTCTTCTAATTCCATCTCTAATAAATAATTATAAAATTTAGTTATATTTTTTTTATCTGGACCTAATAGGATTTTATCTAATTGTTATGCCTTAGCATAAATTCCAAAAATTTTCTTGTCCTGGCTATATCTATTTTGAATTTGCAAATAAGCCCACTGGTCTACTTGTAGCCCTTGTTCTTGGAGATCTTGCCATGATTTTAAAGTTCCTTGCGCATCAAGAAGGTCTTTGTATTTTATCATTTTATTAATATCTAGATTATTTGGATGTATCATCGCCTCCAACATTGAGATCCAGATTGGAATTTTTAAATAATATTTTTTTTGTTCCAATTAGCCAATAAGGAATCTCTAATTATATGTCTGTGGAAATACTTCTGCTTAATTTTTCCAGTGTCCCATAAAAATGCATGCCATCCCCTCTGTAAATCGTGGCCTTCTAGAAATAAGATTCTTTTATTCAACAGATTTACCCACTCTTTCAACCAAAGTAATGTGGCTGCACTATAGTATAATTCCCAATTTGGGAATGCCATACCTCCCCTGCTCTTCATATCTTGCATTGCCTTTAGGTTTATCCTCGGTTTTTTCCCTTGCCAAATAAATTTGGTAATTATCTTGTTAAGTTCCACAAAGTAATTTTTATGTATTTTTATTGGTATTGTTTGGAATAAGTAAATAAATTTAGGCAGGATGTTCATTTTTATAGTGGCAATCCTCCCTAATAAGGAGATTTGCAATTTAAGCCATATCTCTAAATCTTTTTTGACTTGCTATAATAATTTATTAGAATTATTTTCCATTAGAGTTTTGCATTGAGCCATCAACCAAATTCCTAAGTATTTAACTTTTTTTACTATTTGTAGTCCCATTATCCTTTCCAATTTTAGTTTTTGTTTTTCTGTTAAATTTTTAGTTATTAATTTCATTTTTTCCCTATTAATTTTAAGTCCTGCAACTTTCACAAATTGATCTAACTCTTTCAATAGTTCTTGACCTGTTTCAATTGGTTCCTCTATGAAAAATACCATATCATCCGCAAATGACTGGAGTTTATATTCTTCTTTTTTATTTTTTAGCCCTTTTATTCCTGGGTTCTGTCTAATTCATGTAAGCAATGTTTCCAAAGATAATATGAAGAGCAGGGGAGATAATGGACATCCCTGCCTGACTCCTTTCTCTATTTTCATTGAGCGCATGTACTCTCCATTAATTATAATATTCACCTTTTGTGAATCATAAATTGTAGTCACAATGTTTTCAAATTTAGTGCCTAAATTCATATTGTAAATTTGTTGGAATAGAAATTGCCAATTTAGATTGTCAAAGGCCTTCTGTGCATCCAAGAATACAAGGGCTATTTGTTTTTCCGGGTGGGCTTCGTAGTATTCCAAAACATTTAATACTATTCTTAAATTGTTCCTAATTTGTCTATTGGAAAGAAATCCATTTTGATCTTTATGTATATATTCATTCAATATTTTTTTCAATCTATTTGCTATAATTGTGGTAAATATTTTATAATCAGTATTTAACAGGGAAATTGGTCTATAATTTTGTATAAGTCGTAAATCTGAATCTTCTTTCGGAATCAACGATATCAGTGTCTCCTTCCATGAATTCGACATTCTTGCTGCTAGTAGGACCTCATTATATACTTCCACCATGAGAGGTCCTATTTGTTCTCCTGTTTTCTTATAAAGTTCCCCTGGTATCCCATCGGGTCCTGGGGTTTTATTTTCTTTTGCTTTTCTATTGCTGCTTTTAACTTGGGCCACGTAATGTCTCTAGTTAACATTTCCTTCATCTCCTCCTTGATTATTTTATCTTTAGTAATACCCAAATAGTTTCTTATCATGTCCTCATTTACCTCCTTCTTTTTATAAAGATCTTCAAAAAATTTACATGCAACTTCTTTTTTCTGTTCTATCCCTTGTTGGGTATACCCGTTCTCATCTATTAATTAATAGATCAATCTTTTTTGTTTTTCTTTTTTTAAGTTTATAGGCCAACCACCTTCCTGGTTTATTGGCCTGTTCAAAAAATATATGTCTGGCTGTATTCAACTTTGAAACCATTCCTTCTTGTTCGATTAAATTTAATTTATGTTTAGTTATTATCATCTGTTTTTTCAATTTACAATCTTTTGGGGTGTTTTGCAGCTGAATTTCTAATTCTTTGATTCTTTGTTCTAATTTATTTTGTTGGGCATATTTTTCTTTATTTCTTTTAGCAGTGTATGATATCATTGTGCCTCTTATTATTACCTTCATTGTATCCCAAATATTCTGTTTCGTAGTTGCCTCATTATTATTTTCTTTTAAAATATAGTCTAATTCCTCGTCAAGTCTATTCATAAATTCTTTCTCTTTAATTAGCTGTGTATTTAGGGTCCAACTTTTCCTTGGTTTCTTCCTACCTTTCCACACTATCTAAATCAGATTGTGATCTGCCCATTCGTTTGGTAAAATTTCAATCTCTTTTAATTCATTTACTAACTCACCATTCATCCACACCATATCAATTCGTGTCCATGATTGGTGGGGATTGGAGTAAAATGTAAATTGCTTTTTCTCAGGGTTTAATTTCCTCCACATGTGTATCAAATTTAGTTCAATCATCATTTCTTCACATGTTTTCAGTAGTTCTCTTTTTTTCTTCTCCCCCCCCCCCCCCCCCCTGTGATCTTTCTGGTGGTCCACAATAGCATTGAAATCCCCCAAGATACAAATATTCCTTTTATCTGGAGGGGTCCTTAAAGGACCAGATTCATCTGACTCACCTCGTAGGGGTGGGGGAAGAGGGGGAGACTGCCAGCTGGGTCGAGGGGAGCCGCATCTCCCCTCCCTGGCTTGGTAAACTCCCCTAGAAGACAGGGAGAAGCGGCAGTCTTTAATGGCTGCCCTGAAGATGGGAAGCTGCCGGGACCTAAGTATAGTGAAATGGTGAGCAGCATGTAACTGGATAGAAGACTTTGAACGTTTTCTTCTGAACCCCGAAAGGCAGAAAAAAAGAGCCCTCATTTGGAAGTGTTATGGCGGCGAATGGGAAATAAGAGGAAAATACAAGGTAAATAAACAACCAGAAATAAAAGAACTATATGAAATCAGAGAATAAACTTGAAATGATACAGAATTGGGCACTAATAAGGCATTGGATAAAATGTTGGAGTTATTTTGAACGGATAAAATTAAATGCTAATGCAACGGAAAAGAGAATTAAAAAAAAAGAGAACTTTGGAAAATTGAGTGATATAAAGCGCCATCTAATGGTTACACATATTTCCTCTTTTATGTTTCCTTGGAAAATCACTAGTCATAAAAATGTTCAAAAAGGAAATGAAATGAAATAAAAGACTATTAGAATAACAAGGACCCCGGAAGTTGTGTTTTTTTTAAAGTGGGGATTGCAGAAAAATATAAATGAATGTGATATTTTGGGACTGTTTGGTGTGGACTGTGATAAGAAAATAGAAGAAAGAGAAATTGAGATAAACGGAGGCTTTTGGCAAAGACCATAACAGAAAAAAATGAGTTTTAATAAAATAAAGGATAACTCAACAGATTAAAGATATGGAGGAAATAAGCAAAGAATTTAAATCAGAACTGCAAACTGTGAGAGAAATGTTAAAAGAAAGAATGAGTCTATTGGATATATTTGTTGGCAAAGTAATGGCGTTGCAGTTCGTAGAACAAAGAAAGCCCAGAGAGGAGGAGTTAAAGGAGAAGGAATACAACCTACAGGAATATGGAGGACAAGGATCATTGCCAAAAGACATAAAAGAACCTACAACAGAGATATCGATGACAGAGATAACATATAAAAGAGACAACGCTCCCAAGATCAAGCAAAAGAAAGAGGAGTTTTACAAGAAGGAATCCCAAAAAAGAGAACAAAGAAGGGTGGGGGGAAACATGGCAAATAAGCAGAGGGAAATAAAAATAACATTAGAAGAAAAAAAGAAGGAAGACTGGGAAAACCTAGAAAAGGGAAAGCTAGCTAAAATTAAAAGGAATGATAAGGTTGTGAGATTTAGAGACAAAGGTTAGGGATAATATTTTATTTCTACTTTTTAGATTGTTTATTATATGGTCTAGAAAAAGCTAAGGATGATAATGAGGTGTAATGTAAAATAAAATAGGTGGTAAGCTGAAACTGGAAATAATAGGGGATAAAGAATTGAAAATATATGTGTGGAAGAAATGATATTGATACTGAATTAATGAATTGAAATATGAAATGGAAATTTATTTAATGATACAGTGGAATGGATAATGATTTGAGGCAATATTATATAAGATAGATGGAAATGCAAGTATGACTATGTATAAATGTTGTAATCTGGAACCACGTTGTTCACGTGAAGAGATGTGTTAAAAAACATAAAATAAAAAACTTTTATTTAAAAAAAAGTACAAATCTAAATGTTAACCGTGTTTATGACCTTGCTCTTCTTGAGGTTTTTTTTCCCCCCCGTTGGTAAAGTTGCTGGTAAAGGAAACTGCATCAGACACCAAAAGGAGGTCTTTTAATTTACTCCCTTTAAAATCAGGGCGAGAGAAGAGCTAATCTATCCTACAAGCCCCTGGGACACTGCTCCCTGAACCTAAGATGGCATTCATGTACATTAAGAAGAGAAAACACATACTTATATAATTTCAGTAATATCCAAAAAATATTTCCCATCATACTTTACCCTGAAGTGTTTTCCAAGCACTGATTACATTGTATTGTATATACATTGTCCCAGATATTATGATATTATATCTAAAAGGTAACAAGGTTCTTACCATTCGTATGCGCTCATCTTCTAGGTTCCTTAGAACAGTAGCAAATTCTTGCAGGGATTTTGCTATGAGAAATAAAAGAAAGACAATCAAGATTATTGAATAGATGTACTTCTCCCCTTTCAACCATTCGTCTAGCAAGATTACAATAGCACTAAAAAGAATGTCTTCACGTGACCATTTCACAGTCACATGTTCAAAATTCAGATACTTGGCAACCAGCATGTATTTATCACCATGGCAGCATCCTGGGATCATGTGGGATTATTTGCAGTCTACCCAGCCAGCTTCCGACCAGCAAAGTCAATGGGCAAGCCAGATTTCACTTAACAATCACATAATTCATTAAACACTGCAATGATTTGTTTAACAATTGTGGCAAAAAAAAGTCATAAAATTGGGGCAACTCACTTAATAACTGCCTTGCTCAACAATGGAAATTATGGTCCCACTTGTGTTTGTAAGTCAAGGACTACCGTGTTTCTCCAACAATACGGCCTCCACCAATAGGAAGGCCCAGCATGATTTCTAGGCATGAGGTGAAATTAAGCCCTGCCCCCAAAATTTAGGCCTATTTAAACCATGCGTTTCCCCGCCATTTCTCACATCATTCGTTAGAACTACACAAGGTGAAGAGAAATGGGGGGAGGGGAGAGAGAAAACTTGGCTTCCCGAGTGCCCTGCAAGTAGCCTAGGCTAGAATACCTCGATAACCGATAGAAGCTCCCCGAAGGCAGAATCCCCAGCCGCTTCAGGGCAAGCTCCCCAAGTGCAGTCACCAGCCACTTCGATCGGCCCGTAGAAGCAGTCTCGGGGTGAGGGGAGTGTGTGTGTGCACTCTCCCCGAGGCCGCTTCGGGGCCGATCGAAGTGGCTGGTGACTGCACTTGGGGAGCTTCCATTGCCCGAAAGAGACTGCCTAAAGGCGAGGGGACACGGGCAGCCACGCCTCGCCCCAAAGCAGCTGAGGACGCTGCCTTCGGGGAGCTTTTGTCGGCCGATAGAAGCGGTCTTGCAGCGAGGGGAGTGTGTGTATGTGCTCACCCCAAGGCTGCTTCTACTGGCCGATCGAAGTGGCTGGTGACTGCACTTGGGGAGCTTCCATTGCCCGAAAGAGACTGCCTAAAGGTGAGGGGACACGGGCAGCCACGCCACGCCCTGAAGCGGCTGGGACTCTGCCTTCGGGGAGCTTTCATCGGCCGATAGAAGCAGCCTCACGGTGAGGTACGTGTGTATGGGCCGCTCTAGGTGGGGGAGGAAATTAAGTCACCCCGGAAAAGATGGCCTAGCCATTTTTTCGGGGGTCAAAAAAAAATAAGGCCTGGCCTTATTTTGAGAAACACGGTATCTATAGCAGGGATGTGAAACTCGCATTGTCACAGCATTATCACGTGACGTATTGCAACTTTCTTCCCCTTCACAAAACTGGGCATGGGCATGGCCAGCACGTGATGCATCCAACATAGCATGAAAGAAAAAGTTAACTTTCTTGACCCAAAACAGCTATGTATTTGACTTAGGGAAACAAAATAAACTAGCATAAGTCCAAATCAAGGATTGTTTAGCCTACCTTTCAACCTTGACCTTTATTACCTTCCAGAAACAAGGCAACTGTGTCTTACTGAAGAACCAACATTTAAGTAGCACTATCTATATTAGCTTTCATTCTCAGTTATTAGTTTCCATGCTGTTTGAAGGCATTGTGCTTCTTAAGTATTGTAATCCCATATTCTAGTCTTTCCAATGACTTTCTTTCTTGTTAACTGTCCATTTTTCTAAGAGACATTCTTTGTAAGGAGACTATATATTTGATATCCAATTGTGAGAACTTTAATTTTGCAGTTATCTTTTAAGCACATTTATATCTTCTGATAGTGAGCTAGCATCCACATGCACAAATATATTGATGCACACATGCATGCACAAATACACCATATATATTCACATATTCTACTCATGACCCAACCATATACCTACTTGATATTTATATGATTTTTAATACATGGTAGGACCAAATGAATGTATAATTAGATAAAAATACAAAACATAAAAAAAAAATATTAAATCAAGTCACCACTATAGTTATCAAGAGGCTGATAGGGGACTGGAAATAGGTCTTTCACTTATTTATGTTTACGCAAGTATAAGAGGTACATGGTGCTGTAACATTATAATGCCATAATGTGAATTTCTTAAAAATAAGTAAGAGTATTTTCCATCCCTGCAATGGGCACTACTTAAATGGTAATTCATAGAAACATGGTTTAACTTTATACAATGTTGTTAACACTGTCATTTATCTTTAAGTGTATGCTTTATATCCATGTATGTTTGCGTGTTTGCAGCCACATAGCTGAGAAGACAACAGCACCATTTGACAAATCAGTCAAATCAATAACAGAACACAAACCACTGCACAGCCCTCAAAATTAGTGACCAGTTGGCACCCATTTCAGAGCATACAGGAGCACTGAAGTATGATCAGTCCATCTGACATGGTCTACATAAAAACTAAGCCTCTTTAACAAGTGCAGGATTAAGGTAAGGTAATCCTTTTGTTTTCATTATTTCTCAAACAAATAAAATCCAGGGGTTTCTGAATGTGATAAGAAACAATTCAAATGGATGACATAACAATCTTGTTCCAAAGCACTAATCTTGGCTCATGTAGCAAGGCAAACATAAGCCTTTTCTTTTCTTTTTTCTTTTTTCTGTTTGGTTTGATGAGCAACAGGGAAGATTATCCAGAAAAGATAGTCTGGACTTTCAGATGAGACATTATCTTCAACATGTATTCACAAATAAGTCTAAATAGATAAATAAAAAATGCATCTGGTCTTAGACAAAATCTCTAGGAGCAAATAAATAGCATTCATATTCTTTGTTTGGTCATTTGTTTTCTGTGGAAGTGGATAAAGTTCTTGGAACTGTTTGTGCCATTACTTGTATATTAGATGATCGCTCCATAGCTTGGTTTATAAGAACCACAAAAGATTCTATCACTGAGTTTATTAATTTTCTCTTCTTCAGGCAGAGTTTCCAACCCCCTTAAAAAAAGTGGTAGTCAAGCCTTTGTGTAGAGAACCATTTTTGGGCCTGACCAAATTTAACAATGAATGTCCAGTTTTCATATTTAGCCAAGCTAAAGAAACTCTTATAGGTGATTTTGATTCCCCACCCCCTAGAATTGGACATGGATATGACCTAGACAGCCTTGGTCACTCTGATGGATGAACTGTATCAAGAGAACATGAGGCGCTGCAATCCTATTTATATTACAAGATTTCTCAGTAATTTCTGACCCCGGTGACCATTTGTTTGATATACTTGAAAGAACTGGGGAGCAGACATGCTACTTGCAATGATTCCTACAGATCCATGAGCTACCAAAAACAGATATTGGGAAAACCTTGTTCAATCTCATGTAGGGTCCTTCAAGGATTTATTTCTCATGTTATTTAACATTAATATGAACCCACTGAGAAGAATATATAGGTTTGGCTTTAGTAATCGATATGCCTTTGATACACAATCATACATTTCTATTCTTTGAGCCTCTGAACGTCTGTCTACCAGTTGTAAGAGACCGAACGTGAGAAGCAAACTGAAATTGAACAGGAATTGTTACTATTTCTGAGACTAGCTTTCAGGATTAAGAAAAAATACTGATTCCAGACAAAATTGCGTTCCTCTTTAACAATGAGGTTTGCCGGTTGGAGGTGCTCCTGGATTAAGCATTGATGCAGGACAACCACAAAACTTAGAGGCAAAGGAAAGCCTTTGATCAGCTTCCTACCTGAACACAGAGACATGGTTTCAGTAACACCTGGTAGTGTACAACTGTATCATTGTAATGCAATCTTCATGAGATGGCCCTTAAAGTTGGTTTATACTTGCAGCTGTTTCATAATGCAGAGCAGCACCGGGGCGAATGGCCCCCATTTTGAAATTTTTGAACACCTTACCTGGTTTACCAGCATGTTCCTTACAAGAGCATGTAGTTATCTAATCTGCCAGATCTGCAACAGAGCACTATTTGTAGGTTCTACTATGGATATAGTTACATCTACTTATACTACTAATGCTATTTTTCCCATGCAGGGCTACTGTATATTTATTTGATCAATAAACCAAATCCATTTTTACAAAGGCTTACTACAGGCAGGCTCGACTAATGATCATTTGTTTAACAACTGTTCAAAGTTATGATGGCACGAAAACAGTGACTTACATCCAGTCCTAGGGTCACATGATCAAAATCTGGATGCTTGGAAATATATATTTACAAAGTTTGTTGTGTCCAAGGGTCATCGGATCACCATTTGTGACCTTCTGAGGAGGCTTCAGTCAAGCAAAGTTAATGGGGGAAGCTGAATTTGCTTAACAATCATGACCCTAAAAAAGGTTTATAAAATCAGCGCGACTCACTTAATCATCACCTGTCTATGAAGATTCTCAATCATCCAGGTCATGGTTGTCCCAAAGGGTTTTTTTTTTCCAAGAGGCAACTGGACTTTCTGGTTTTTCTTTGAAGACGAAGAATAGAAAAACCAGAAAGTCCTACCTTGAAGTCTTTTTTAAAAAGCACCCTTGAAACAACCATGACGTGGATGATAGACATTTAGCTATGCACTTTAGGATGAACACCCTTCAAATGGTTTTGGATTTCCAGAAAAATTGTAGACTATGGAAACCATTTGCGCTTCAGTTTGAGATGCTGGCTTCAATGACTCATTAAAACAATGCAAATGACCAGCTGTCTACAAGGGGTATAAATCCTTCCATTCTCCATCATCCAGTCATTACTGAGGAGGCTTCTTGGATGAGAAGCGAAACATCTTCAAAGAAAAACCAGAAAATCCAGTTGCCTCTTGAAAAAAAAGCACCTTTGAAATTAATGATCACATCATTTAGTGACAGAAATTGAAATCGCAATTATGGTCATATGTCAAGGACTACCTGTAATAATTTGCAGACTCATCTTTCCTAATTACTGTAGATATTCGTTCTTATCCATATTCCTCCTAATTAAGTCGCTGAATTGCCTCATTTGTACAAATCAAAGCCTAGGCACTTACCTATACATATTTCATCATCTGTTTCTGCATCACCTATACATTGAAATTTGAAATCATTCAAGGAGTCTGCAAATTTCCGTTTTGCTGAAGACAAATCTATAAAGAGAAGAAAAGTTTTTCAGTAAAAAATAAACCACAGATTTAGCGAACTAGTAACTTGTAGCAATGTCCTTCATTCTGTCATCTAGGCTAGAGGACAATCTTTGATATAAAGTAAATAATAAAGGTTCTGCTGAAAGGAAAACTACTGATCCATAAGTATCTTTTTAAAATAGTTTTTTTAAAATAAATTTTTACTGGTTTTTAAGATAAACATAGACAAACAAAACATAAAAACATCAAATCATCTTCCATATATGTACATACAGTGTGTCGGTTGGTTTACAAATTGTTTTGTGTTTCCATTTCGTAGTCTTAAATTACAATTACATTGTATATATTCTCATATTTTCAATCAAATATTAAATACATTAATATCATTGTTAATCAATCATTTGACTATACTTTTATTCATTCATGTTTTACGAAATAATCCATATTTTACTTAATTTGTTTTATGACAGTTCATATTATCATCTCAAATCTATCCTACAATCATTTTGTAGATATAAGAAGAAAAGAATACATCTTTATATATTTATTATTTTCTAAGAATCTACATATTTCATTACCATGTTTTATTGTCTAACCATTGATAGAATAGATCCCAAATTTTATAAAATTGTTTATCTTCTTGTTCTCTGATTTCAAATGTCAATCTACTCATTTCAGCACATTCCAATATTTTCTTAATAACGTCCTCCTGTAATGGTATTTTCTCATTTTTCCAGTTTTTGGCAAATACAATCCTAGCCGCTGTTAATACATTTACAATTAGGTATTTCAAGTCTTTACTATATATTTCAGGTAAAATTCCCAATAAAAATATCTCTGGTTTCAAGTCTATATGCTTTTTTTGTCATTTTTTCCAACCACGTGTGGATTTTAGTCCAATATTTTTTAGCATCCACACAGTTTTTAATAAATCCAAAAAATGAACATTATGTCATAGAAATCAAAATTGAGAGACTTGCTTCAATGTTCCAACAACTTTAAATCAACTTTGGCAGCACTCCTACTATTAAAGGCTATCCTTATAACCAGGAATGGGATACGACAGGGTTAACTACCAGTTCGGGAATTACGAGCTTCCCTGCCTGCTGTGAGCAGCGCACCTGTTAATCGTCATTAGCATGCTGCGTGCCAAGAAGCAGCCTTTGAAACAGCCCTCTTTTCCTGCTTTTTAAATTGCAGCTGTGCCTCCTTCCGGCAGCTGAAGTTGAAAAAATCAGGAAATAAACACCTAGGTGGGCAGGTGGGCAAAAACATCAGCAGACATAGAACCGGTTCTATGTCTGCTGCTCTTCAGAGCTACCGGTTCTACAGAGGTGGACAGAACCGGTAGAAACCCACCCCTGCTTATAACACACTATTTAAAGCTGTCATACTTGGTTAACTTTAAAAATGCAAACAAGTTTCAGTTCCTGGTTTTACTAATTGTCTGAGAAAGGACAGGAAATAGAGCAGAGTGAGGATGTTTTAATAAACTATGCCCTTTATTTATTCCTATATATCCTTTTTTTTCCATACCCATATAGTTTGTTATTATTGCATTTAACTTTGTAATGTTCCATTGTTTTTTTTCCACAATGAAAGCCAAAGAGCTGAAATATTCTACGTCACTGTGCCAGATAATGGCAAGAATGCTCTTTTGCTATCAGGATTGAAATGTCACATAGTTTTCAGAAAGACTTACTGCAAAGAAGCTTGGGATGGCAGGCACAACTCAAGCATCGGGGATCTACAGAAAAGCAGAGCTAACTCCAGCCTTCATCCTCACCAATATTTGTGCCCAACTAACTTGGCCAAGTTTTGAAATTTACTCTCATTACATCAAAGAAAATTAATCTTGACAGAACAGTTTGTTAAGGCTGCATCCCAACTGGGAGGAAGGGAGTGTACAAAACACACTTACATCTATCCACACAAGGGGACTGGAGAAGGAGAGCACATAGGTACCCATGTATAAAATAAAAAGTGAAATAATGAAGAGGGTTTTTTGCAAAACTTCAGGACTCATGGATAAGCAGTCAGATAACACTTACGGAGAACTGGTTTTGTATATAATAGCTGCAGTGATACTAGTATATGCACAGTGATGGAAAAACACTGAAATACTGAGTGGATTGTGAAAATAGAAGAATGTGTGGAAATGGCACAATTGATCTGCTTCATAAGGGATAAGACAAAAAGCAGGAGTGAACAAACTTGGTGCAGTGGTTAAGGCATTGAGCTAGAAACTGGGAGACTATGAGTTCTAGCCCTGCTTTTAGGCTTGAAGCCCTGGATTATTTTCTCTCAACCCTAGAAGAAGGCATTGGCAAACCACTTTTGAAAAATCTTGCCAAGAAAATTGCAGGGACTGACTTACTGTATATAGCCAATTTCTGAGAAATGGACACAATTGAATGAATTTGTAATATTTTTTTTAAAAAAAGACAACACGTACTTAAAGACTGGAAAGCTGTTTTAAACTTTTTGCAGAAAATAGGAAAAAAAATGAATCGGTGATTTATAGATATGCTCATTCAAGGGATTGAATTTATACTTAAAAGAGAAACGTGTATCTTTGAAGAGAGAGGAGAGATAATGAGTTTGTTGTAACTACTGTAAAGAAAATTGGAAACTGCTTCTCCTTTTCTTTTCTTTTTTCTTTTCTTTTCCTACCTGCAACTCTTTTCTACTTTTTTTTTATCTTATCTTTCTTTTTAAATTTCACTCTATGTAATTTCTTTTAGGTTACTTTCTTAAAGAGACGAGTCCTTTGTTTACATGCAAGACATAGGGAATGAAATAATATGGTTACTGAACACAGCAAAAGCTAAAATGGCAGGTGTATTTAAATAAGAGGCCATGTTATGATGAGGGAACGAAAAGATAAAAATCTATTAAATTGGTTTATTGGTCAGCTGACATTCACAGGGTGCTCTGATCCCTCACCTCTGATTGCTGGCTAAACTGTGAAATTGGCACTCTCAATCATAGTTCTTCTAAAGGTTACTGAACAGTTGAATGTGAATAGTTATCATGGGCTATGAAAATAACTGGGAGACAGGAGGAAAAGCTGAAGCCTACACAACAGTCTGATAAGATAAATTTAAGTCTAAAGGAGTGGTGTGGGTAGAGAAAGCATCTCAGAAGGGACCCTCCCTTACTTTCCTGGAAAGTAAAAGCAGGAGAGAGGAGAAGGCTTTTTGGACTTGCAAGTTTACTGTAACCTTATAATAATAATAGTATTAGTAGTCTTCATTTTGATTTTCTGTCTGGACTACCCCAAAAGGCTGACAATAAAGATGATAAGCATGCTAGGGAAACTAGATTCAGCAGTCCATCTGCGTTTAAAAGACAAAGGCCACTCTTTTGAAGAGAGCGAAGCCCACATTTTGGACATTGGTTTGAAAGAGGGGTCAAAGACGCCATCTATGTCAAAACTGAACAGCTCTCTCTCAACAGAGGAGGAGGGAAATGACATCATCTACAACATGTTTCCAACACAGTCCTTTCAACAGTTCCAAGAAGCTCCACACCCATTTGCACCACTCAGGTGACCCTCAGGACACAGATAAACCTCCAGGTAGCCTTAGCAACTCTCGCTCACTAAAAGAATGCAAATGACCAGCCGTCTGCAAGGAATATAAATCCTTCCATTCCCCACAGTCCAGTCGGAGCTAAAGAAGCTTCTTGGATGTGAAGAAGTGAAACATCTTCAAAGAAAAACAAGAAAGTCCAGTTGCCTTTAAAAACACTTCACTTCTATATCGTTCATGTCCGAAAACAAACGATCAAAAATCGAAACCCATTCTGAAATGGAAGATTCAGACTACAGCCTTATCACTCAGAAACTATTCCTCCTTTCCGCTCTCCCGAAAATAATAAGGAAGTGTTCATTTCATAAATGTCTATAGAGATTCTCAGTCATCCAGGTCAGGGTTGTCCCAAAGGTGCTTTTTCAAGAGGCAATTGGACTTTGTTTTTTGTTTTTCCTTTGAAGACATTTTGCTTCTCATCCAAGAAGCTTCTTCAGAGCTGAAGAAACTTCTTGGATGAGAAGTGAAATGTCTTCAAAGGGGGAAAAAAACCAGAAAGTCCAGTTGCCTCTTGAAAAAGCACCTTTGGAAACATTCATTTCATAAGGACTTGTTTCCTTTAACCAGAACTATATTCTAAACTTTTGTCTCTGAGCATTTTGCAGAGCATGATGTACCTTTTCCTCTTAGTTATACACGCACACCCTATAAGCTTAGCAAAAGTTTGCATTATGCAATGTGGGCTTTTTGTCGAAAAGGATTAACTACAGCATCATTCAGCCCAGTCAGTATTTGGGAGGGATCCAACTGCCACATTCCACCAGAAAAGAGAAGTGGAAAGAGACTCACGTGAAGGATGCCAAACTCACTGTGTGATGCTTATGAAGAGGCAGCAATCCAGGCTTTGCAGAATGTATGGCTTAATAAGCTCTATTACACTTAACTTGAATACTCCAAATGCTGATTAGTTCTGGGGCTGAGGTGGGGGGACGGGGGACATGCTGCCGTGATGCTGGATGATGACTTGGAACCAACCATGTGTACTCCTATGCACACACAGTTCATATCTGTAACAGGTACATGACTATATAGAGACACTGCTTACGTCTTCTCCACTTTGAGAGATTCTATTCGTTCTGCCCTGATTAACACGATTACTGCAGTCATCACTCCCATAGATGTTGTTTTCAGGGGCCTAGCAGGAAGGAGCTGTTTCAGAAACATCCGTTCCAGCAGCACTGAATCAGAAAGGTGCAAAGTGGTGTCATAGGAGTCATGCTGGAAGCTATATGGAAACAACTGGAGAGCTACATATGCCTTATATCTCATGGATTAATCATCTCAGTTACGTAGGCAGGCAGGTAGACAGAGGGAGTGGGAAGAGAAACAGGAGAAAAAGGAAGAAAGAGAGAAAGAGAGAAAGATACATGGAGGGGAAGTCTCATCTAACATATTCCCCCAAATCTATAA